GAATTCAGTTTCCTCAATGTCTCAAATACAAATGAAAAACTACAATTTCCTGATACTCTTAATGACAAAAGATTCCAATAAAACAACATTTATTTATTCATTTAGAAACAGCAGGAGTTTCCACACAGTAATGGTGTTTTACTCCAGCAGTAGTGGAGGTGTCATGAGCTGCAGCTTTCTGAATGTTTTACTCTGGTCTGCTGGAGACTGCAGTGCTGTTTGAGGCATCGTGTGTTTATTTGATCATCAGCAGCTCTTGAGGAAAACTGTCAATCGATTCACCGTCAGACTGAACAGATTCAGTGATGCTGAAGACAGACAATATACAATACATCTGTCATCATCATCATCAGTGGGGTTTTAGCCTCAGTAATTAAAGCTAAATTAGATGATCTTAACAGATGATTTGTGACGATGATTAAACAATTCAAGCAACATCTTTATGGTCTTTACACTATAATTAGAAAAAATACATCATCATGCACTTTATAAACATGATTAAAAATATGAATTATTAAATAATATTCAGTAAAGATGATAACAAATATTGTAAACAATTACTTAATTGAATTTTTTAATTTTAATAAATATTTTTTTATATTTTAAAATTATCTGTTAAAAAATGCAGATGAAGTTAAAACTATATATTAAAGTCAGATTGAGTTCAGTGTTTAATTTGTATTCAGTGTTTGAGTTGCTCCAGGATCAGTTCAGTCTCTGTGACACTGACTGACTGACGGAGGTTTTTGTTCCACTTTTCATCACTGTGTGAACACAACATCACCCACACAGTTATTGTTCGAATCTGTTCTGCAGTGTAAACTCTGACAGTAATAATGTCCAGCATCTTCAGTCTGGACTCCACTGATGCTCAGAGTGAAATCACTGTTAGATCCACTGCCACTGAATCTAGATGCAGTTCCTGACAGAAGCTTTTTCACATAACGAATCAGGAGTTTAGGAGCTTCTCCAGGTTTCTGCAAATACCAGGCTAAACCTTCATCTCCATCACTCCATCTCTGCACATCTCTACTGGTTCTGCAGGTGATGGTGACAGGTTTGTCTGGTTCTGCTGTCATTGAGGGACTCTGAGTGACGCTGATCTGTCCTCCACACTCTGAAACACAACAAGAAGAAAATCAGCTCTAAATATATCGACAATCCACTTGAAGAAATGAATGAATATGAAAGCAGCGCTGGACAAACCTCGAGCAAACACTGTGAGAGTCCCGATGAAGATGATGATGAAGGTCATGATGATGAAGATTGTTGTGTGTGTCAGTGATGAAGTGTTCAACTCACAGCACTATAAACACTCACAGCACTCAATATGCATGCAAACACACACACACACACACACACACACACACACACACACTCATCTACATCAGGTCAGCAGTTGCGTTGGTTGTGGTTTTGTGCTGCAGCTTTGCTAATAAGCTGCTTCTGAACTGTTGTAATATCTCTAAGCTCCACTAAATCAAAGTGTCAATGGTTACTGTACACCAAACACAGTAACATATTACTGTATACTAAACATGGTAACACAGTTGGGGCAGAAATCAGCAATATCAACATTAATAAATGTAATGTATTAAACTATTAATGTTTAAAATCATATTACCCTAGAGGTTTTTAATATCAGGAGTGTGTGGATGTTCATCACATGTCGTTTCTGAATGAACTGAGTTTGGGTTTGGACTTCAGTTCAACATCATTACATATATTCTCCCTCTTTGATATATTAGTGAAGCATGTTTTAATAACGAGCAATAAATTAAGCATGAAATGAAGAAGATTAATGTGCTGTGTGAACGTGTGTGTGTGTAAAGATGTGTGTGTTGTGAGCCTCAGTTCAGTCAGTGAAGCGTTCAGAGGTTTTTGTTCAGCCGCTCTATTAGTTTGTATCACTGTGGTGGACTTTCGGCAGCGGCACCAAACTGGATGTTGGCAGTAAGTAAAGCTTCAGATCTTCATATTACTTTTAATAATAAAACAGCTGACTTTTAAATAACTTCTAGAAATGTATAGCATTAATGCGTATTTACACCTGATCATATAGTTTTATATTATTTTAGTGCAGTTAGTAGACAGTGAGTGTGTGTCAGTCGACACCGTACAGATGATTTTCATTGTTCCAGGATCTTTTTTAAATTAATTAAAAATCTTTTATTGCTATTTTTATTAGTTTTATTTAGTTAATAAATGGTTGAAAGTACATTACAGTGTTTTTACAGACGCTAAAAACATTTCTCAATATTTAGGTCACATTTGCAAACAACAGAAGTCTCTGTGGGCTAAACTGAGGATCATTCTCATTGTTTTGGCACCAAATGCATTAAAGACTACATCTCTCAAATTTCATCAATTCTTTTCTCACTCAGACACAACAACTGCCAATAATCTGTGTTACATACTGTTTTCAAAACTGTTAAACTTCTGTTCAAAACAACAACACAATGCAAAACTGAATAAGACAGCAGAATTCAACAGCAATATTTTATTGAAACATCTAAAAGTGCAGTTTAACCAGCCAGATTAGCATTACTATTGTCTCTGTGTCAGGAAAAAGTGTAGACAAATTCTTGTATTTTGGAATTACTTAGTGTAAAAAAATAAATAAATAAATGACATAAAATATTAAGGAATTCTGCATCATGTTCATACCAGTAACATATATTGCAGTTATAAACAGTGATGTGTGCTTGTTTTACACAAGAAAACACTGTAATGCTAATGTTAGTGTCTTTTTATCTCAGTGTTTTGTGAGTGACAAAGTGTGTTTGTCGGCTGTCAACCTTTGCTAGTGTTCTGGAAGTATGAGTTTATTTGAGGCCTGAATAAAGTGTTTTGGTAGTTGTGGTGCATCTTGAATGTGAAATGAACTGCTTTGCCGAGCTGAAAGTCGATTAGGAGAATTGTGTGAAGAGTTTTGCTAAAGTGACCTACAGTAAGTTTTGAGAAATGTGTCTGTAAAAACTGTAAATGACATAATTATAGGCTGCTATTTTGCCACTACTCTACTTCAAAAGTTAAAACAAACTTGTAATTTAGATTTTGTTGTTGATTTTAAAAGCACAATTGAATTTGTTATTGCTTACTTTTGTTTAAAGGACTTAATGAACTGTCTTTGTCAGAAACTTCATGAGATAAAGTTTATTACTTGTAGATATGAAGTGTAAAATGATAATGATTAAGTGTTTATAATCGTATCTGCCAGACGCTTTTAAGCAAAGTAAGTTACAGTGAAGATGATCCTGAAAATGACACAGAATCATGATCGTCTCTTCAGTGTAACTCTCAGTGCTTTGCTGATCAGACTCTGCGTGAGTAGTTTTTCCTGAAAATATCCTGAAAATACTCAATGCGCTCTGTCTTTACTCAGTTAACAAATGTACTTTGAGAGTTTTTGGTTTGGTCAAACTGGATATTGCGAACGCTGAAAGTTCTAGAGATGTTAAATTCACACGTGTGTTTCTGAAAGTTATTCTGGACTGAGGTTTTGATATTATTTAAAACCAAATTGTTTTTTTTTTTTTTTTACTTTATTTTGTTCATTAATCAGCATATTTATTCTGAACATGTTCTCTTCTCACAGTAATTATGCATATGATTGTGTAAATGGAGTAAAACTTTATCCAGTGACTGCTGAGTGTTTTGAAGACGCTGAAGATGCTCTTAATGTCTGCACTTTAAAAAATGCTTTTCTTACTTAGATTATTTTTATTGTTTCTAGTCCAGATATCTACAAATTCTTAAATCAAGAATAATTTTCTAGACAAGCAAAACATATTGTCTTGTTTTAAAAAATAATAAGCCAAAATGAAGTGAGTTTTTCCTTAAATCAAGCTAAATAATCTTATGTCAAAAGGAAAAACAAGAATATTTAGCTTACCCCATTGGCAGATTATTTAACTTGATTTAAGGAAAAACTCCCTTCATTTTGGGTTATTATTTCTTAAAACAAAACAATATGTTCGGCTTGTCAAGAAAATGCTTCTTAATTTAAGAATTTGTAGATATTTGCACTAGAAACAAGACAAAAATGTAAATAAGAAAAGCATTTTTTGCAGCATGTTTAGACTGAATGTGACACTTTACTGAGCTCTGTTCAGTGTTTTTAGCCATAATAATATTGATTTTAAATTTAATATATATTAATATACAGAGTGAACTTTATTCTGAACCTGTTATTAATCATTGTTCAGTGAGTAATGCTTGTTTTGAGTGAGTAATGAGTGAGTGAGTGTCTCCTGGTCAAGGCTGTGTTTGTCTGCTCTTCTCTCCTCAGCCGTCTCTCCTCCTCAAGTGAGCGTCCTGCAGCCCTCCAGTGCAGAGATCTCCTCCAAGCGGACGGCTACACTGCTGTGTGTGGCCAACAAGGGCTTCCCGTCAGACTGGAGGCTGGTCTGGAAGGTCCTCAAGCCTGACGGGAGCAGCAGCAGCGGGGGTCAGGAGAGCAGCAGTGCTGGGCTCCTGGAGAAGGACGGTCTGTACAGCTGGAGCAGCAGCCTGACTCTCACTGAGCAGCAGTGGATGGAGAGCGCCTCAGTGAGCTGTGAGGCCACACGGAGCGGCCAGCCTGCGCTTACTGCAGGAGACACTGTGAGGAGACAGCAGTGTTCAGAGTAGATCTGCAGCACACACACACTCCTGCTACTCACATTTACTGCATTCAGCACACACACTGGCTGTCTTTCAGTCTCTCTGTGTGCTCTGCTCTGCTTTCTGTCTTTCACACCAGATTAAATGTGTGCAGTTTATTATTCTGTCATCGTTTTACTGTAATTTAGTCAATAAATAAAGCTGTAACAGTCTGTCTTTGAGTCTCGTGTGTGGACTTTATTTCAGGACAGTAACAGTGTGTGTTTCTGTGTCAGTTTAGTTTCTGCTTCATATTTGATCAATAATCTTCAGTCAGTGGAGCATGAAAACACCTGCAGATTCAGGAGGAACAGAAACATGCGCTGCACTTATCAACATCTCTCACACACTGAATCAGAATATGATAGAGAGATTTGGGTTATTTAATACATGAAGAACATAATGAATTAATTGTTTCAGTCAGTGTCTATGGTAATGATTTATTCTGGATGTTTTCATGTGTAAAGCAAATAAACATTAATTGAAGTTTAGCGTCTTAGTGCTGATACTGACACTGAAATGCTGTACTTACACTTACATTTGCTTTATATCTTTATATGTGTATATTTTTTGGTAAATTCATTTAATGTTTTATTTTATAATGCTTTGAATAAATGTTTGCTTTGATATTTTTCCAGTTTTTAATTTACTAATTCAGAGTTGAACTCATTACAGATCACAGTCTATTAGAGCTGATTTAAGTCAGAACTCAGTGTGTTGATCTGTGTGTAGTGTGTGTGTTTGTCCTCTGTGTGTCAGTAGTGTTCAGTGTTTGAGCTGCTCCAGGATCAGTTCAGTCTCGGTGACTCTGACTGACTGACGGAGGTTTTTGTATCACTCTTTATCACTGTGTGAACACATATTTACTGTTGATGTAGTGGTAGCTCTGACAGTAATAATGTCCAGCATCTTCAGTCTGGACTCCACTGATGCTCAGAGTGAAATCACTGTTAGATCCACTGCCACTGAATCTAGATGCAGTTCCTGGCTGGAGGACATCTGTATAATAAATCAGGAGTTTAGGAGCTTCTCCAGGTTTCTGTAAGTACCAGCTAACGTGATAACAGCAGTCTGGATTACTGCTAAATCTGCAGTGGACAGTGAGAGATCGTCCAGGTTCAGAGAGCAGCACTGAGGGAGTTTGAGTCACTGTCACCTGACCAATACATTCTGCCAGAGGAGAAACATTAGAAATCATTTGTATAATCATATATAAGATCACAACACAGAAACACAAGTCAATAACACACATAATCTTGAGGGACACACACCTCCACATAATGCTGCCAGTGTCCAGATCAATATGCTGCTGAAGGTCATTGTTGTTCTTGTAGGTTCAGTTGTAGTGAAAACAGTTGTTGATCAAGTTTTCTGTTTGTCAGAGTTATAAACACATGCAGAGCACTGAAGCGTGTGGCACTCATGTAAAACTCCACATGCAAACACTGATGGAGATTGTGGTGTGAATTAGTTTAATGTGCTGTTTCATTATAATATCAATGTCACATGAACAAGTTTATTTTTATTTATTATAAGAGGAACAACAGGATGAAAAGTTTTAGACTGATTCAATAAACCACTTTAATGAGCAAGATGTTGTAGATGTTTTAAATAATTTGCATTTTAATCAATCATGCTGTCTGTTTACTCAATCATTTTAATATTTTTAATAAGCAGGAGAATATTCTGCTGCATGACTCTGAACAACACAATGAATCAATGATTCTGAAGAGTCAAATGAGTGAATGATTCAGTGAATCACTCAAACGGTTATTGGGAGCTTCTCAACAGTGCAGAATTACTATTGTATTTATTTTGAAGAATACTCTAAATAAACTATCTTAATAATTTATTAATCTACTGGTGTTTCTTGTGTTAGGAGTCTGTGTGAAATCTCTGGACACGCTCAACTCAACTTCTGTATTTGGTTCAGGATGTTTGTGTTCAGTCTCTGTGACTCTGAATGACTGACGGAGGTTTTTGTATCACTCTTTATCACTGTGTCAACACATATTTACTGTTGATCAAGTGTACACCCATACAGTAATAATGTCCAGAATCTTCAGTCTGGACTCCACTGATGGTCAAAGTGAAATCAGTGCCATAATATTCTCCACTGCCACTGAATCTGGCTGGAGTTCCTGACTGCAGTGATCTTATATAGGAAATGAGGAGTTTAGGAGCTTCTCCAGGTTTCTGCAGATACCAGGAGAGACAAGAGCCACATCCCTGTGTTCGATCTCCAATTCCTCTGCTAGTCTGACAGTTTATAGTCACAGTTTCTCCTGCTGGAGCTGCTGCTGAAAGAGTTTGAGTCACTGAAAGCTGTCCTGACATTTCTGTGAAGGACATTTGAGAAGAACATTATTTCAGCTCATATTCATCAACACTTAATATAGTTGAAGTGTCCGTAACAAAAACACCTTTACTGTCAAACAGCTGCATTTAAACCTCATTTAGAGTCAATAACAGTGTAAATGAACCTTGAACAGAAAGAGCGAGTGTCCAGAAACAGACGCTGATGATCTTCATCTTCTTCTTCTGGTTTAGTTTCAGTCTGAATGCAGAAAAGCTCTGAGTGATGAAGTGTTCAACTCACAGCACTATAAACACTCTGAAGCTGATCAGCAATATGCAAACACACACACACACACACACACACACACACACATGATCATCTACATCAGGACAGCAGATGCGTTGGTTGTGGTTTTGTTCAGCAGCTTTACTAATAAGCTGATTCTGAACTGTTGTAATATCTCTAAGCTCCACTAAATCAGTGTAATGGAGTGATTATATATTCAGAGAGAGATATATTCAGGGATATATTCAGAGATATATTCAGTGTGTCGATGGTTGTGATGTTTGTAGTTGAGAGCAGTAAATGTGGTTTGATCTGCTCTATTCTGAGCTGCAGAGACTCTGAACACTGTTTGATTGGTTAAACTCTCTGAACTGGAACAGATTCGCTTTACTTCTGCTCATCAGCTCATCAGACTCTTTTCAAGATCATTTGAACATTTTATAAAACTCACAAAGTTTCTTAAACAATTAATTGTAGATAGATTTAGATAAATAATAGATGGATCTGATTCAATTCCCTCTTCAAAGGTTTTTACTATTTTCAGAATTATTTGATCTGTGAGATTCATGGTGATTATGATTTATGAACTGATTTAGTATTTTTTAAATGCATTCATGGAAATATTTAAGTGCTTCTCAAAAGTTTCCAAGATAAACAAATGATAAACTTTAGATTGTTTCTTGTGACATGAAGGATTAAAATATTTACATTATTAAATGAATTCAGTTTCCTCAATGTCTCAAATACAAATGAAAAACTACAATTTCCTGATACTCTTAATGACAAAAGATTCCAATAAAACAACATTTATTTATTCATTTAGAAACAGCAGGAGTTTCCACACAGTAATGGTGTTTTACTCCAGCAGTAGTGGAGGTGTCATGAGCTGCAGCTTTCTGAATGTTTTACTCTGGTCTGCTGGAGACTGCAGTGCTGTTTGAGGCGTCGTGTGTTTATTTGATCATCAGCAGCTCTTGAGGAAGACAGTCAATCGATTCACCGTCAGACTGAACAGACTCAGTGATGCTGAAGACAGACAGTATACAATACATCTGTCATCATCATCATCAGTGGGGTTTTAGCCTCAGTAATTAAAGCTAAATTAGATGATCTTAACAGATGATTTATTATGATGATTAAACAATTCAAGCAACATCTTTTTGGTCTTTACACTATAATTAGAGAAAATACATCATCATGCACTTTATAAATGTGATTAAAAATATGAATTATTAAATAATATTCAGTAAAGATGATAACAAATATTGTAAACAATTACTTAATTGAATTTTTTTTTATTTTATTAAATATTTTTATATATTTTAAAATTATCTGTTAAAAATGCAGATGAAGTTAAAACTATATATTAAAGTCAGATTGAGTTCAGTGTTTAATTTGTGTTCAGTGTTTGAGCTGCTCCAGGATCAGTTCAGTCTCTGTGACTCTGACTGACTGACGGAGGTTTTTGTATCACTCTTTATCACTGTGTCAACACAACATCACCCACACAGTTATTGTTCGAATCTGTTCTGCAGTGGAAACTCTGACAGTAATAATGTCCAGCATCTTCAGTCTGGACTCCATTGATGCTCAGAGTGAAATCACTGTTAGATCCTCTGCCACTGAATCTAGACGGAGTTTCTGATTCCAGACTTTTTGCATAACGAACCAGAAGTTTAGGAGCTTCTCCAAGTTTCTGTAAATACCAGAAAAAAGCATCATCTCCATCATCATATCTGTACACATCTCTACTGGTTCTGCAGGTGATTGTGACGGTTTGGTCTGGTTCTGCTGTCATTGAGGGACTCTGAGTGACGCTGATCTGTCCTCCACACTCTGAAACACAACAAGAAGAAAATCAGCTCTAAATATATCGACAATCCACTTGAAGAATGAATGAATATGAAAGCAGCGCTGGACAAACCTCGAGCAAACACTGTGAGAGTCCAGATGAAGATCATGATGAAGGTCATGATGATGAAAATTGTTGTTTGCGTCAGTGATGAAGTGTTTAACTCACAGCACTATAAACACTCACAGCACTCAATATGCAAACACACACACACACACACACACTCATCTACATCAGGTCAGCAGTTGTGTTGGTTGTGGTTTTGTGCTGCAGCTTTGCTAATAAGCTGCTTCTGAACTGTTGTAATATCTCTGAGCTCCACTAAATCAAAGTGTCAATGGTTACTGTACATCAAACACAGTAACATATTACTGTATACTGAATATGGTAACACACTTTACTGTATACTGAACATGGTAACACAGTTGGGGCAGAAATCAGCAAAATCAACATTAATAAATGTAATGTATTAAACTATTAATGTTTAAAATCATATTACCTTAGAGGTTTTTTAATACCAGGAGTGTGTGGATGTTCATCACGGGTCGTTTCTGAATGAACTGAGTTTGGGTTTGGACTTCAGTTCAACATCATTACATATATTCTCCCTCTTTGATATATTAGTGATGCATGTTTTAATAACATTGACACTTTTGGCACTTTTTTGGAGTATTTTCATAAGTTTTGTTTTTTCCTGTAAATGATTCAATAAATACCGTACCGTGACATTCATACCGAGGTATTACCGTACCGTGAAATTCTGATACCGTTACATCCCTAATAACGAGAAATAAATTAAGCATGAAATGAAGAAGATTAATGTGCTGTGTGAACGTGTGTGTGTAAAGATGTGTGTGTTGTGAGCCTCAGTTCAGTCAGTGAAGCGTTCAGAGGTTTTTGTTCAGCCGCTCTATTAGTTTGTATCACTGTGGTACACTTTCGGCAGCGGCACCAAACTGGATGTTGGCAGTAAGTAAAGCTTCAGATCTTCATATTATTATTAATATTAAAACAGCTGACTTTTAAATAACTTCTAGAAATGTATAGCATTAATGCGTATTTACACCTGATCATATTGTTTTATATTATTTTAGTGCAGTTAGTAGACAGTGAGTGTGTGTCAGTCGACACCGTACAGATGATTTTCATTCTTCCAGGATCTTTTTTAAATTAATTAAAAATCTTTTATTGCTATTTTTATTAGTTTTATTTAGTTAATAAATGGTTGAAAGTACATTACAGTGTTTTTACAGACGCTAAAAACATTTCTCAATATTTAGGTCACATTTGCAAACAACAGAAGTCTCTGTGGGCTAAACTGAGGATCAGTTCTCATTGTTTTGGCACCAAATGCATTAAAGACTACATCTCTCAAATTTCATCAATTCTTTTCTCACTCAGACACAACAACTGCCAATAATCTGTGTTACATACTGTTTTCAAAACTGTTAAACTTCTGTTCAAAACAACAACACAATGCAAAACTGAATAAGACAGCAGAATTCAACAGCAATATTTTATTGAAACATCTAAAAGTGCAGTTTAACCAGCCAGATTAGCATTACTATTGTCTCTGTGTCAGTGGATATGTGTAGACAAATTCATGTATTTTGGAATTACTTAGTGTAAATAAATAAATAAATAAACAAAATAAAATATTGAGGAATTCTGCATCATGTTCATACCAGTAACATATATTGCAGTTATAAACAGAGATGTGTGCTTGTTTTACACAAGAAAACACTGTAATGTTAATGTTAATGTCTTTTTATCTCAGTGTTTTGTGGGTGGCAAAGTGTGTTTGTCGGCTGTCAACCTTTGCTAGTGTTCTTAAAGTATGAGTTTATTTGAGGCCTGAATAAAGTGTTTTGGTAGTTGTGGTGCATCTTGAATGTGAAATGAACTGCTTTGCCGAGCTGAAAGTCGATTAGGAGAATTGTGTAAAGAGTTTTGCTAAAGTGACCTACAGTAAGTTTTGAGAAATGTGTCTGTAAAAACTGTAAATGACATAATTATAGGCTGCTATTTTGCCACTACTCTACTTCAAAAGTTAAAACAAACTTGTAATTTAGATTTTGTTGTTGATTTTAAAAGCACAATTGAATTTGTTATTGCTTACTTTTGTTTAAAGGACTTAATGAACTGTCTTGGTCAGAAACTTCATGAGATAAAGTTTATTACTTGTAGATATGAAGTGTAAAATGATAGTGGATAAGTGTTTATAATCGTATCTGACAGACGCTTTTAAGCAAAGTGAGTAACAGTGAAGATGATCCTGAAAATGACACAGAATCATGATCGTCTCTTCAGTGTAACTCTCAGTGCTTTACTGATCAGACTCTGCGTGAGTTGTGTTTCTGAAAATATCCTGAAAATACTCAATGTGCTCTGTCTTTATTCAGTCAACAAATGCACTTTAAGAGTTTTTGGTTCAGTTAAGCTGGATATTGCGAACGCTGAAAGTTCTAGAGATGTTAAATTCAAACGTGTGTTTCTGAAAGTTATTCTGGACTGAGGTTTTGTTGTTATTTAAAACCAAATTGTTTTTTTTTTTTTTTTACTTTATTTTGTTTATTAATCAGCATATTTATTCTGAACATGTTCTCTTCTCACAGTAATTATGCATATGATTGTGTAAATGGAGTAAAACTTTATCTTGTGACTGTTGAGTGTCTTGAAGACGCTGAAGATGCTCTTAATGTCTGCACTTTAAAAAATGCTTTTCTTACTTAGATTATTTTTATTGTTTCCAGTCCAGATATCTACAAATTCTTAAATCAAGAATAATTTTCTAGACAAGCAAAACATATTGTCTTGTTTTAAAAAATAATAAGCCAAAATGAAGTGAGTTTTTCCTTAAATCAAGCTAAATAATCTTATGTCAAAAGGAAAAACAAGAATATTTAGCTTACCCCATTGGCAGATTATTTAACTTGATTTAAGGAAAAACTCACTTCATTTTGGGTTATTATTTCTTAAAACAAAACAATATGTTCGGCTTGTCAAGAAAATGCTTCTTAATTTAAGAATTTGTAGATATTTGCACTAGAAACAAGACAAAAATGTAAATAAGAAAAGCTTTTTTTGCAGCATGTTTAGACTGAACGTGACACTTTACTGAGCTCTGTTCAGTGTTTTTAACCATAATAATATTTATTTTTAAATTTAATATATATTAATATACAGAGTGAACTTTATTCTGAACCTGTTATTAATCATTGTTCAGTGAGTAATGCTTGTTTTGAGTGAGTAATGAGTGAGTGAGTGTCTCCTGGTCACGGCTGTGTTTGTCTGCTCTTCTCTCCTCAGCCGTCTCTCCTCCTCAAGTGAGCGTCCTGCCGCCCTCCAGTGCAGAGATCTCCTCCAAGCGGACGGCTACACTGCTGTGTGTGGCCAACAAGGGCTTCCCGTCAGACTGGAGGCTGGTCTGGAAGGTCCTCAAGCCTGACGGGAGCAGCAGCAGCGGGGGTCAGGAGAGCAGCAGTGCTGGGCTCCTGGAGAAGGACGGTCTGTACAGCTGGAGCAGCAGCCTGACTCTCTCTGAGCAGCAGTGGATGGAGAGCGCCTCAGTGAGCTGTGAGGCCACACGGAGCGGCCAGCCTGCGCTCACTGCAGGAGACACTGTGAGGAGACAGCAGTGTTCAGAGTAGATCTGCAGCACACACACACTCCTGCTACTCACATTTACTGCATTCAGCACACACACTGTCTGTCTTTCAGTCTCTCTGTGTGCTCTGCTCTGCTTTCTGTTTTTCACACCAGATTAAATGTGTGCAGTTTATTATTCTGTCATCATTTTATTGTAATTCAGTCAATAAATAAAGCTGTAACAGTCTGTCTTTTTTGTCATGTTGGTTTCGTGTCTTTTATTAGATCAGGGTTTTAGCTCATACTGTATAAATAATCTTCAGTCAGTGGAGCATGAAAACACCTGCAGATTCAGGAGGAACCAGCATCTGCTTCATTCTCAGAGGAACTCAATCACTAATGCAAATTTGTAAGTTTAACTCTCGGTTTCACTTACTCATTCTGGAAAAGGTTTGTCATGTGCCATAAATATTTGAAAAAATTTACTTGAAAAGCGCTAAAGTAGGCCAACATGTTAACCATAATATGACACACACACACATACACACACACACACACACAAATACGCAAATATATAATTAGCCTATATAAAAAATCTTCCCTTAAATGGTCTGAAACACTTCTGTTTAAAATCTTTTTCTCTCATTTTAAGTCTATACATATTAAGTTTATACGTATGTTTACTTTAAATGTTTGTCTTGCGTCATAGTTGAAACAAATAAACAAACAAGCCCCCTGCAAAAGGTTTGTCATGTCCTATAAATTAAAAAAAAAAAAATTAGTTCAACATGTAAACAATAATGACTATAACACGTAAACACACAAATATCTATCTATCTATCTATCTATCTATCTATATATATATATATATATATATATATATATATCCTGTATAATTAGCAAAACATATAAATCTACCATTCTGATAGGTATGAAACTCTTATTGGGAATATTCATTCATTCAAGAATTTTCTTTTCGGCTTAGTCTCTTTATTAATCAGGGGTCACCACAGCAGGATGAACCACCATCTTATCCAGCATATGTTTTACGCAGCGGATGCCCTTCCAGCTGGCACCCAGCACAATTTTAGCTTATACCTTTACCACATGTCTTCTTTTGACTGTGGGGGAAACACACGCGAATGTGGGGACAACATGTAAAATTCACACAGAAATGGCAACTGACATATATGTATATTCATTTATTTATTTATGGAAAAAGACTACTTAAAAAGTTGTTTACTTGAGGTTTACCACATTTTAAGTCAAACCTTTTTACAAATAAATATAGTTTGCTTGAAATGCTCCATAGACATATGTAAATATCTGGAAACGGTCTTCTTGCTGTTTCTCAATTCCAAGAACGCAGAGAACGGACTTGCGTTCTTGTGGAGACCGGTCTTGCCAGGTGTCCTCGGAAGAACGAACTCAGGAGACCGCGAGGGCAGAGAACGCGTCCTTTGAGAATTGAGATGCTGCGTTCTTCCTGATGGTCATGTGACCTTCACGTGTTTTAAATGGTAAATTATTTAAACATTACAGCACTCATACAACGATTTATTGTTTTTCCCCTTTTCAAAATATATACTTTGCATAAAAACATTATAAATATATGTTGCACAACAAAATAAAACATATTTTAATACGAATTTCAGCAAACAAACACTCTTAATGTGTTTATTCCTTAAGATGTCCATGGTAATGTTTACTGTCACCGTTTCATTTAGGGAAACTCCTGAGGTAAATAAGTCATATCTATGAACTTTAATAATAAATCTAGATTAAATGCTTCCCACCTTCAGTCGCAATGACTTCTGGGACTTCCAGAGCAAGTTCGGTGCTCAAGTCTGCATAAATGCGTCCTCGATATCAATAACACATCCGGGAAGTTTCTTGAGTATTGGAACTGAACTTAGGCAGCTGATGATGACATTTCACGAGAACACGAGGACGCAAGACCGCTGAAGAACGCATATTGAGAAACTTGTGTTTTTCATGCCAACAATAAAGACTGACTATAGAGCGAACCAATAGCATTTGAGTGTGAGTTGTAAAAGACAATCTCATTGGTTGGAGCAACTAAACGAACACGCCCCTTTATTGACGAGTCGTTTGTTTGTTTGATTCTGAACCTGAATGAAGCCAAATATAGCCAATCATTTACGAACCAACTGAACTAACGTTACTAGGCTAGGCCTACTATTGTAAATCACTACTACCACAGCCATGTAACTGTAAACTGTAGAAAGAGTCATATCAAGAAAAACACATACGAATGAATCATTTCCGTAACCATTAAAAAGATTCAAACTACCAAAATGAACCAAACAGTCATGAGTCATTTGAACTCCTATAATAGAAGAGTCGAATTGAATATATTTACTATCGTATGTTTAGGCTCACACATGGTGTCTGAAGATTTGACCAGCGCGCAAACATACTTTATTTAGTTTTGGAGCATGACATACATAAACAAGGGCTCTGTTCTGCTAAACATATTCACAGAGAAAGCAGGACATTTCGTTTTGGAGCAACAATATGGTGAGTAACGTTAAATGATGACAGATATACAGTTTGGTCACCTGTTTCTACCCAAACATAAGATTTCCAATGCAAATTATGTATCACAAATATTGCAAACATAGTTAAAAATATACCTGTCAGCTTAGTGCTGGTTTACCATTACATATATAAAGTGAATATTGAGGTAAAGTTGGTTGGTTTATATTTGCTCATTCGCTTCCCACATTGCTTACCATGGTACTTTGAATATTCACATGTAAACATAACTTCTAATCAACATTAGCACTATTTGACTGTGCAATACGATGTACTTTGATAGTCATCGGCTACTAATATTATTTCACTGTGTGTAATTAGCTAAACTTCTCTAAAATTATATTAATAAGGAGAAAGTCAGAATGTGTGAATATAAAACCAACCTTACCTCAATAAAATAAAGCAATCAAAACATGAGATCATTTATTAAAATAACAACAAAAGCTGCATCACAAAACACTGCAATTAACAACAAAGTTTAATAGATATCAATCTTTTGTCAAGCCGAAAATTAAAAAAAAAATTTCTGGGACTAAAAATTCCCACAATATTATGTTCCTAAAGGAAGTGCACATGGACAATTTAAAGACTCAAATTTTGTCTTTAAATGTAAGTGTTTATTAAAATTTGCTCCAGGAAAAGGCCCTGTTTGCCACAACAACAGTTATTAGCTAATAAAATACATTTACTATATTAGACTATCACTGGTCACACAAATCTAAAACTAATACTGATTAATGCGTGGCACTGATGTAGGTTTTCTTTATTTTTGTATTTTATTAAGAGTTTGTGTGCATTTAAAGATTGTCTATAAATTTAGCGTGCTTGCATTCTTCTCAACATTGCAAAAGGACAAATATGACCACAGTATTTAATAAGCACCTTTGTGACTCGATCTCAGCTAAACTATATGTTTGTTCTTTTTCTATCCCTAATCACGTAATTAATAATTCATCCTTAATCAAACAGGATACACTTAAGTTAGACTATGTTGTTTTGGTTAATTTCATTTACCTCAGATTTACTAGCTCCGTGCGATTTGACGAGATACTATGTGCACAGGCTGAGTTTTGACTGATTTATTTATGTGAAAGTGGAGGCTGACTATAATAAATACTTTTATCTGGAATAAAATCACCTGTTTTTTAACCATGCGTCTAATATTTTGCAGAACATCTGTATTCTAATATATGATGCCTTAAATGAACAGCCTCTTTTTTAAGGGTGATGACGCCCCACACTTTCGGTTCAGGTCTACCTCAGAAGTTTTTCAAAAAATGCATCATGCTCCGCGAGCAAAGGGCAGGAGTGGGCGTGGCCAGCAGAGCAGGGGAGAAGGAAGAGAGCGAACCGCTGTTGTCAGTTCCATGATTTTATAGTTTACCAAGTTAAAATGCAAGCAAATAAAACAGCAATTTAATGCCCTGCTTCATTTGTTATTCGTAATTTCATGTATACACAACCACAATTTATATCATTATAAAGATAATCGTGTTCATATAAACACTATAAATGAGGACGTCTCCCTCAATCCCCGGGTCTGAATGCAGATTCAGTGCAGCAGGTCTCTTGCCTTGTTTTAACCATTAGCCCTGTTGGTAATCTAGAGGATTTAGGCGAACACGGTAGCACAGCGATGTGTTTAAATGTGAACGAACTCCTGATAAAAGACATTGTGCGCCATTCTCTAACTCCCGTACTGCTTTCCCAACACAAAGGCTTGCTGCACACACACAGCTTTGCTGTATCGGTCCTGACAGCATCGGAAGGAAAAACATGCAACAAACCCTGTGGATCATGGAAACAAACACATACGACCCTTCATGAACGGCTAAATACTGTTTGCTGTGGGTCCGTGGACGCGGTTTCACCCATCAATGTAGGATCTCACAGCTTGGCACTGGCAGGTCTGACTTGCCTTCGGAAACCAGGTGCAGTCATGAATAATTAAGAAGCCGGCCCTTCTAATAGGATAAGAAAACTCCGCTATGAATAATAATGAGAAACCCACGCGTCATCTTTGCACTTGCAGTTCTGCGCTACGTCGCCGATTTTGATCCGCCCCGAAAATCATTTTAAACCCAGAAGATGAAATTAGCTGACAAAAGCTCAAAATTATCCAGTTTCCCCACAATTAAAGCTGACAGGTGCTAACATTTCCCTAACTGATGCTCAACACACACACATCTGTTTAAATCTCAAAAAAAGAACTCGAGGGTTTCGTGAACCTTTAAAGGGTAAGTCAGGGGTGTAGTGGGGGTTAAAGACCAACTACATGTGGGCTAAGCCCTGTGTCTTTATAATGTCGGGCTTCACCCCTGCTTATACGTCTATTAGATTTTCACTGTCACACCAAATATGTTTCAGCAAATATGCCTTCATTTAGACGTCTATTATGACGTCTGTTATGCTGCGTTCACACCAGATGCAGAACGTGCGTCAAGCGCAAGTGATTTACATGTTAAGTCAATGCAAACGCGCGAATAAACATCCTGTGGCACGATACGCGCGAATGGCGCGGCGCAAATGGCGCGATTGCACGAATGGCGCGCAGCAAATTGAGCGTTTTGCGCGTTTGACGTGCTTAACGCGCATTTCACGTGAATCACTCGAGTTAGAAAATCTGTACTTCAGCGGACATTCGCGCCGCATTAACCAATCAGGAGATTGCTCTTGTGGCTTGCTCTCCGTCATGGAGGTTCAATTTCTGGAAGAGTTTATGAGCTTACAGAGCTGGATTCACCTCTGAAAGGATGTAGTGGGCTCAGACACGACCCTAAACGTATCCACGCTGTTTTTCAGTCTTCATAAATAAAATCCATGTTAGCCATTTAGCAATGAAGCTAGAGTCACCGGGCAGACAGAAGGCAGAATCCACATCTGTTTTGAAGTAAATTTGACGCGCGAATGATGCGAGTAAGCTCAAATGTTCACGCGGAAATTTACACGCGAATAGCGAGATTTATCCGCGTGTTCCGCGTCAGGTGTGAACACAGCATTAGACATCTTTTAAACAAAACATGCTTTCAGGGATGTGAGTCACAAAATAAACTATTAATTAAAAAAAAAAAAAAAAAAAAAAAAATATATATATATATATATATATATATATATATATATATATATATATATATATATATATATATTTTTTTTTTTTTTTTTACTTTGTACTCTCTTCTTTTGTTTTTATTATCGTCTCTTTTTTTTCCCTCAAACTTCCCGCAGTCTCTCTGTCGTCTACAAGCTTGTGCTGACCACAGTTATCCGTGGCCTACAATCCTGAACATGATGATTTATCACTGCGCTTTTCATGACTGATATCTTCTCCTTCCCTTTCTCACTGACATCACTTCCTGTTTGGCTTTTCTCATTTGTGCTGTACTCTTTCACTTCGGCGTGAGATGATCCAGACTCATTTACGGTGTGGTTTGATCGCCGTTTTTCATCTCCGTTAGTTTGAATTTCCTGATTCCCGTCAGCATCTCCTGAGCTTGGAGGGCTGAATTGAATTTCCTCATAAATGCACAGCTCTGGCTTGGATTGGTCGGTCTGTTGATTGTCAGACTGTGTGATTGGCTGAACGTCCTTTATTTCATTAGCCTGTAAAATATGAGGCTTGTCCAGTGCTGTTTTGTGACTCTGCTCAATGTCTCCTCCCACTGGCTTATCAAGCGTTCGATTGGTTCCCTCCTCTGCTTGTTGATTTTCCACCGGAGGGATGGATGCTTGAGGTTTTGGGTCATGCACATACACCGGCACTAACTCGCATCTTCTGTTATTTGACAGAAAACACTCATTAGTAGACACTGCAAGCTTTTTTCGGTCAGAACTGCTCTTTTTGTGAGGTTTGTGTGTTTGGCTGTTTCCCGGATGTCCTTTAAACACAGTAAGAGTTGAGATGTGATTGATGGAGTGGCTCTCTATGACGATGATGTCGTTGCACGATGATTGCTGTGATGGTTTAGTTTTTGATTCTGTTGTATCCTCACACTTAGGCATTATTGGGTCTTTGCTGTGCTTTTTATATTTGCGTCTCTCACCGCTGAAGCCGTTGTGTCCAACAGTCGAATCTGGAAAAACAAGAAAAGCTTGACAGAATTATATAATAAAGCCATCACTATCAGTGTTGTCACTAGGCAAGGGTATTGTTAAGGTTTCAGGGTGCTTTCACACTTGGTTCATTAGCCTGAACCTTACCCAAGTTCGATTGTCTCCCCTTGCCACCTCCGCGGTTGGTTTGTGTTCATTCTGTCTTTTTTCCTTCTGAACCCCGGTACGCTTGCATCATCGAGCTGCTGTTTTGTTTATGGCCGTTGCTAGCAGACATCACTGTGTATCACTGTGTTTGCACTGGCTCAGTCCCGCGCGAGTCACTAAGGTTCGAAACGTGACGCACATAAACATGAACGAACGTTATAAAAATGATAGTTTGTTGTACAGTTGGCGGTTCACTTCCGTGATTTGGTACGATTGCATTCACATCAGAACTGAACCCAACCAGAGTTTGCATGAACCGTACCCCAGACTACCTCTTTCAGGTGGACTCGGGTACGGTTCACGGGTGCGCACCCGAGTTCAGAAGACACGTTCACACTAGCTAAACGTACTGTACTATGACGTTAAACGAATCTGGGTGCGGACCAAAAGTGCTAATGTGAAAGTACCCTTAACGGTATTAATACTTTTATCGATACCACTAATCGGTTTGGTACTTTAACGGTTCTCTTATCAGTACTTTTTGTAGTGTTATTTTTTATTTAAAAAATTTAAAAACAAATTAACTACTTTATTTTGTTATTACGTTTTAATGTAAAATAAAACAAAACCAATAAATGTAAAACAAAAAAAAAAAATGTTTTCCTGTAAAAGAATGTACAATGACTTGAAAGAAAATATTTCTAACACGTTTACATACTTGTAAATTAAATTATTCATATTCAATTTACAGGTTTCACTTACAAAATATTGAAAACCCTTTAAATTCAGAACTTCATAAATTAGTGGCTCAATTGGACTGTTAAAATGTGACATTACATCTGGGAACTGCAGGAAAAGCAATAGATTGCAGATTGAAGATCGCCAGCAGCTCTAGCTTTCACCAGCAGGTGGGGAATAATTTAAGATTTTTAACCCAGTAAATAGGTGAGGAAAAAGCTAATAAAGGCACAAAAGTATATAATATTAATATTAATGCCTTGGACATTATAAATAGTCAAATGAGTATGAATGAAATAGGTAAATTATGTTTTGGTCATCTGTATTTCCTCTTAAGTAACGGAAGCCAGCTGGTGATCGCATAAACCTCACTCCTCTGATCCAGTGACAGACTTTGTTCTGCAATCTTTAGCCTCCTCAGAGCATTTTTCTCCCATGCCAGTATCGCCGGCTCGTGCCCTGCTCGGAGCAGTGGAGTTACATGCACATAAACCGTCTTTTGATGAATATGATGTTACACATTCTCTATCTTTATTAACTCTTTTTTCCATAGACGTGAAGTATTAAATTAACTGCTAAAGAATATAAACGTAAGAGAAGCAGGAGAGAAAATAATATAATAATACAAAATAGATAATTGCCAGGATTAAGGACAATTAAGAACAAAGATATTAGTTTCAAAACCAGAGAGATTGTAATAGAGCATCACACAAAACTTGTAACTGTTAGACAGAGTGTTCAGGTATGATTTAAGGTTAAATCTGGCAATTCTTTATTTGATCTATCTTGTTAATTCAGAGTATTATTTTTTTCAGTTTGTGCTCTTCAACAAGCTTTTTAATTCAATACTTTTGGCATTGATTTTGTTCCATAGAAATGGACATATTTTAAATTACAGTACCTATTGGTATTGAATTATAGTCAGGTGACAACACTAATCACTATTGTAAAAAATTACATTTGCTGTTTGTTCAAACTACTTGCTTAAAATGAGCTGAAACTGAATTCTTTAGTTTTTTTTTTTTGACAATTCTTTCGATTGTGTTGAACCCAGCATTTTTTACAGATGAAAACTATTGAACACCGAGATTAGTCTTGGGACAATTTTGAAAAACACTTTTGCGCCACTTCCAATGTTGACTTCTATAAAACTGCATTAAAAGTAAACTACGCCTAATGCACTATACTTAAGTTTTTATCCGTACTTTAATGTGCATGTAAAGTAAAATGCATCGCCTTTCAAAGTATACTCTAATTATTAGTTTGGCAAAAAATAAATTAAGGCTCACGTGTGACCTGGCAGTGTGTTATATTACATGAACGGCTGAAATGATCTGCTATGCATGTACAGTTTGCACGTGATGTAGGACTGTGCAATTAATCGAAATACTATTTCAAGTTCGATTTTGGCCTCCAAAGATAACAAAAAAAACATTAATCGAGATAAAACTATTTAAATTTAGATAAAACTTTACAAGTCATTTCAACTGCATATTGAAACGTAAGTTGTCATGACTTTTACACTTTACCTGGAGTGTACTTGTGGATATCTGCCTCTTTCTCAGTGGCTGTAATGAGTTTCAAGGGATGAATGTCGTCTATGAAGTGCTCTCTGGCTGCACTGAAAAATAAACAGGGACAAAGAGACAGACATGAATATTTTTAAAAGAAAACAACCAATGACCAATAAAACTGGAGCATAAGCCAAACTCAATTAAAATCGTCTTCATAAGCTAAAATAGTTAGTAATGTAAACCCTAAGCACAATACATGCACAATGAGAAATTAAAAGACATTTGAAACCACGCATATTGACATGTGAAGCTATACATTTACCAAAGAACTTCAAATCGAATTGAACTGATTGTGTAAATTTCCATACCTCATACTTCTGTCTCTTCTGTCAGTATATCTGGGTGTCGTTTGCTGTTTCTGAGAGGTCAAGGTAGCGGCGTCGCAGTCAGACTCAGAGTTTGTGAGACTCAAGTCTCCAGGTTCAGGCTGTAACATGCATTCATGCACACATGCACATGATCAAGCTTATGTATAGTGATCACACTTTACAGTTTAGACTGTCATAAGTGTACATTTTCTGAAATTGAGATGTATACATTGTCTGAAAGCTGAACTAATAAGCTTTCCATTGATGTATGGGACGTTATGATAGAACAATATTTGGAAGAGGTAAAACTATTAGAAGATGTAGAATCTGGGAGTGCATAAAAATCTAAATAATGAGATAATCACCTTTTAAAGTGGTCTAAATACATTACATGCAACTTTTCCAATTATAGCTTATTCAACATCAAGCGTTGCTCAACATTAGAGCACATGGGTGTGATTTTGGATTTTTTTCCCCATCAATTTAAATTAACATAATTTTGTGGGGTGTGTTTTTGTGCTAGTGTCTTAAATGTTTAAATCTGACACTAAAAGCACTTGTAGGTGGCAGCAAATCCCCGTCCTAATGAGCTATTGAATCATTAATTCAAAGGATTCTTCAAACATTTGATTTATTTGGAAAAGAAGAAAGTGACTGTATTTATGCTTGTATTGTACTGTATTTATCGTTGAATCACTAACTCAAAGGGTTCATTTAAAAACAGATTGTAATAATCATCATGAAGCAGTCTCTTGAGATTTAAGTTAGATTTTTGCAATGAGAGTTACAGTTCAAAACAGCAGTGCTTTATGAATTTGTGTCAAACACCCATACAACTGTGCAATAACTCAACATGTTTAATCTAAACCATGTGAATGGATATTAATATTTTTTAATGAAGCAAGAAAAGTTTTTTTTTAGGAGTAAATAGAATTGTTGCATTGATTTGTGGGCCCCATAAAAATATTATGAGGGTCCCTGGACAGTTATCTTAAAAATATATATATACAGACTTTCATCATTTTATATCTCTGGGAATGTTTTTCTTTTTCTTTGTATAGATAGGTGTGCTGGTTATGGTTGCTTACTGCAAATTTCTTGACAGAGCTGTAAGGGCATTTAAGTGCTTAGTTTCTCATTTTTCTAATAAACATGGCTATTCATCAAAAATAAACAATAAGAAAAATAAGTTGTCTAAATTAAGTTATTAGAAATGTATATCACTAATCAAAAATTGAGTTTTGATATAATGATGTTCACTCCTTGTACATCAGATAAAGAAAAAAGCCATGCCATTTAAACTGACTGTAGTCTGTTCAGTTACATAACTATTGTTTTACTTCTTTAGTGGCAGGTAGATTAATATTGTTTTTGCGTTGAAGCAAATTTATTTTGCTTAACCTACTTGCAGATGGTTTAGCTAGTTTTAAAGGGAATCTTTTATGCTAAAATCACTTTTATAAAACATTTAAACACAGTTGTGTGGCAACAATCTGTAAATATAACCAACCTCTAATGGTAAAAATAAATTTTTATTTGTTATAATAACACCTGATAAAACTGGTCAAAAACTGTGGAGTTTCAGCTCAAAATACCACACAAATAAAAGTGGACCAAATAAGCAAACCGAGACCTGCTTGAAGAGGTGGTCTCGGTACGCTTTCAAACCAACCCTGGAGCGGTTTGTTTATGGTGAGAATATGGCTGTTTCTCAATTCCACGAACGCAGAGAATGGACTTGCGTTCTTGTGGAGACTGGTCTTGCCAGGTGTCCTCGGAAGAACGAACTCAGGAGACCGCGAGGGCAGAGAACGCGTCCTTTGAGAAATGGGATGCTGCGTTCTTCCTGATGGTCACGTGACCTTCACGCATTTTAAATGGTAAATTATTTAAACATTACAGCACTCATACAACGATTTATTGTTTTTCCCCTTTTCAAAATAAATACTTTGCTTAAAAACATTATAAATATATGTTGCACAATATAAATAAAACTGATTTTAATACGAATTTCAGCAAACAAACACCCTTAATGTGTTTATTCCTTTATTAAGATATCCATGGTAATGTTTACTTTCACCGTTTCATTTAGTGAAACTCCTGAGGTAAATAAGTCATATCTATGAACTTTAATAATAAATCTAGATAAAATGCAGCGCTTCCCACCTCCAGTCGCAATGACTTCTGGGACTTCCAGAGCAAGTTCGGTGCTTAAGTCTGCATCAATGCGTCCTCGATATCAAGAACACGTCCGGGAAGTTTCACGCGTCCTCCGTACTTGCGGTCTTGAGTATTGGAACTGAACTTAGGCAGCTGATGATGACGTTTCATGAGAACACGAGGACGCAAGACCGCTGAAGAACGCATATTGAGAAACAGCCTATGATCCGTACTAAAACAGGTCCAACCGCAAAAAGTACAGCGCCTTTTGGACTAATCCAGCTGCCATAGACCGATTTCGCTGTGCATTATGGGATATGGAGGTAAAAATATTTATTGACAGCGCTTTATCAACAGAGAGAGAGAGGGGAAAACATTACCTGATGGATCGTTGGTAATATTTCCGCAAGATGACCATGTCGCAGTTTAGCTAAATGAATTCACGCCTCCTCCTGAAGTGACGAGCGATGCATTAAACACTGTTTTCCAGCCGCGGCCACGCTTCATTCTCGAAATGTAAAGTTTGTCTAAAGCAGGCATACAATCAGTCAGCGCAGTCGTCCCTCCAGACTATAAACAACATTTTGTGTCTGCCGGTTTTGTTTAGTTGCGGGAGTTCATTGGCATTTTCCCGCACGTGAATTCTGACCAATCAATAAGCAGTTTAGGAAATATGTTCAACAACATCTGGCCAATGAGAGATGTGGATTTTGTCAGATGAGTGTATTTTGGTTCGTTTCAACTGGTTCGGACCAAAGCCAGCAGTGTGGTGTGAAAACGACCCAAAGACTGCAGAAAATGCAACAATGTATCATTTATTGCCCTTGGTCCGGACCAAATGAAGCGAACTACAGACGTGAAAGCACCCTCTGAAACTGCCCCTGTCAGGCTTTGATCCTAATTGCTTCATTTTGGTGACTGTCGCTTTAAATTCAAGTGAGATTGTGCTCTTTTCAAAAGAGGGCGGAGCTACAAATGCCTTTGTGTCAGCATCGTTGTAGATTTAAAAACAAGGGAGAGATTGTCACAAGTGGGCGGGGCTTTCCCACTCTGATGACACATACAACAATTTTTGCAGATTGTTTTTTATCGAGTGTGATTATAAAAAATGGAATTAATTACTTTTTACCATTAGAGGCTGGTTATATTCACACACTGCTGCCACACAACTGTGTTTAACCCCCTTATAAAAGTTATTTTTGCATAATAGAGTGGAGGAACTATGACGTCAATTTGTATGCAAAAACCCGGAAGCGAGTTAGCATTTTAGCAGTTCCGGTTCCCTCGTCCCAAAGTCAATGGGGTTTTTCAATGGGGCTTAAATAAGGTTCGTAGCTAACACAAACTCAAGATACTTTTACGTTTTGTTCTACGACATAAAACGCATCAGTTACAGCACACTCTTGAATTTTTAAGTGGGTTTTGCTTCTTTAAAAAGACGGTTGCTATCAAGTTGCTAATTGGGACTACAGGCGGTGTCAGAGACATTATACGTCATCTAGCTGATCTGGTCTGGAGCGCAGCTCGCTTGTGTTGGGCATTTGGATTTGTCTGTGATTTAGGTATTTTCATGAATAGTATTTAATAGTTTGTAGTATTTTTCTAATTGGGAATTCAGATTGTGTGTAGATAATTCCTTCACTTGTAAAGGCTGTCGAGACAGATACGTTTGTTGATCATTTATTTTAATAAACAATATTATGAAGATACTGCTCACCGTTGCAGCCTGTCTCTTTCCTGCTCTTAGACTGTATGAGCTGCTTTTCGCTGTACTTCGTGACAAGAAATGAATATTGAATGTTGCTCTGTGTCCATGATGGAACTTGCAGGCATTGATTTGATAGGCTTGTCCCTCACGCCTCATTTCTGTCATCAGTTAAGGTTAGCAGGCTGTGTGCACACGAGCGATACTTATTTAAATTTGTCTTATAATAATACTATGTAGGCATATTTATACATGCAGTTTTAAAACTTTTACAACAACCGTAAAGCAAAACAGATATATTTCCAACGTAAAAAAAACGATCCAAAAGGCACATAGGTCTATGTATTTCTGCGTATTTATTTGTTTATAATATATAGCGTGGATTATAATATAATATACAGAGAGATTAACTCTTTGTCATGGACAATATTTCTAAAAATATGCTTGATAAGTCGTCTGTAGCAGGGTGGTGCTGATGTCACAGGCGAGCGCCCCGAGGGCAGTGTAGTCCGTTTATAGCCTAATGTTAGCTTTTCAATTCTTGCGTTTGCATTTAAGATCCAAAAGTGCTCAAAGTTGTATTTTCGTGTGAGGATTATCCGACTGGACAAAACGTGTAAGTGTTATGAACAGTGTTTGAACACAGAGCTTATTATTTGCAATCTTCGAAAAGCCTATAGGGTTTTTCACTAGGGAACCAGTTTTATGCTAGCAGCCAATTAGCCTACAAAGTGACGTCATAGTTCCTGCACTCTATTGCTCCCCTATACCTTCATGCAGCAAGCAGCTTCAGCTTCATTATGTGGTGAATACAAACAATGCTTTTTACTTGCAATAATAATTTCACCTCTTGCTGATGTTGCCTCCAGCTCTTTCTCCCAGCGAGTGTTTTCTCCTTGGGATTTTGTCCTTTCTGCATGTCGTGATGTGCGTCAGCCCAGTGTAAATGTCTGTTTCTGTCGGTCATCTCATGCTGCTGTGTTTTACTAGGGTTTTTCACCGTGCTCCTCTGGCTGTTTCTCAGTCCTGACTGTAATGTGATTTGCTCTGGAGACTCAGAGTAAAGATCGTCTACATAAATGCGCTCAGCGATTAGTGATGTCGGGAGGGTGGACGTCACGACACGCGTCAGATGCAGAGGCTCATGTGAAGCTTCATGTTCAGAGCTCGCTTTGCTGTCATTTTCTTGAGTCCATCTTTTATAACTCTGCTGGATCTTCATGTAGTCCTGCTCTGCTTCAGTCACACACTCCTTTTACATCAGAGAAGGAGAAAGATTTTCTATACAACTATACAACTTTTGATTTACCTCCTAAATCTAATGTCCAAGACTACTAAATATATTAGAAAAAAGATTCATTCGATTTACTCATTTTTTTTAAGTTAAGTGGTTGCAAACAATTTGTACAGACTGAATTTAAACAAAGAAATTAAGTTAAACTTGCTCAGTAGTTGCCTCACAGCAAGAAAGTTGCTGGTTTGGGTCACAGCTGGGCCAGTTGTGTGGAGTTTGCATGTTCTCCCCGTGTTGGTGTGGGTTTCCTCTGGGTGCTCCGGTTTCCCCCACAGACCAAACACATGCGCTAAAGGTAAACTGAATAAACTAAATTGGCTGTGGTGTGTGAAAATGAGTGTGTATGGGTGTTTTCCAGTACTGGGTTGCAGCTGGAACGGCATCCGCTGCATAAAAAATTTGCTGGAATAGTTAGCGGTTCATTCCGCTGTGGCAACCCCTGATAAATAAAAGGCCATGCTGAAGAATAATGAATGAATGAAGTTTGGTGTGAATGGTGTACTAGTTAAGACTCAGAGCTGAAATTCACACGGACTGTAAGCTACTTTAAGTTCAGTTTTTGGCAGATTTGTAAGTGAAATGGAGTGAAGTGCATCTCATTACCATGTTGAGTCCTCCTAACTCGCCCTCAAAGTAGGAAACTGGTTTTGACTGAGGAACTGCAGGACAGGAAAACAAACCGATTTAAAGATGCAAACTTAAATATACAGTAATGTGCAAAACCACACAAATGCTACATCCTACATGATGCTACATCCACACAAAACCAAAGCTTTCATTATCCAACCTTGATTTTCTGTGTGATTTTGCTGTATGCATAGTTGTAGTCAGAATTATTAGCCCCCCTTTAACTTTTTTTTTTTTCTTTTTTAAATATTTCCCAACTGATTTTTAACAGAGCAAGGACATTTTCACAGTATGTCTGATAATATTTTTTGTTCTGGTAGAAAGTCTTATTTGTTTTATTTCAGCTAGAATAAAAGCAGTTTTTAGTTTTTAAACACCATTTTAAAATCAAAATTATTAGCCCCTTTAAGCTTTATATATTTTCTGATAGTCTACAGAACAAACCATCATTATACAATAACTTCCCTAATTACCCTAACCTGCCTAGTTAATCTATTTAACCTAATTAAGCCTTTAAATGTCACTTTAAGCTGTATAGAAGTGTCTTGAAAAATATCTAGTCAAATATTATTTACTGTCATCATGACAAAGATGAAAAAAAATTCTCTCCATTAAACAGAAATTGGGGAAAAAATAAACAGGGGGACTAATAATTCTGACTTGACTTTGGCCAGTGTAAACATTTTCTGAAACTCCGTGTACAGTGTGGTCGTGTGGAGGTTACAACCGGAGTTTTAGCGTCATGACATCAGCTGAGGAAAACTTGCTGTTTTCTCTTTTCTGATTGGCCAACATGGCTGGGTTTATATATATTTATATATACTTGAATGCAATTTACCTGCGAAATAAAGGTAATTCTCCGTTTGGTGAACTCGGCTTAAAAGTTGATTCAGTGTGCGCTTAACATGACAGTGCGTTTTTGCATTTTCATGTGGACGGGAATTTTTTTTTCAAACGAAAGCCGGAAAAACTTATTTTATTAAGTTTATTAAGTTTTAAGTTTTACGATTATTTAATAAGTTTATAAAAATACCCGTGTACGTGTGGACATGGCCTAAGTGTCTTGATCCATTAAATACTTATGCCACTGGCCTCGTTCCGCCCACACACATCACACCTGTACCAAATCAGCCAATCAGAGATTTTGTGCTCTTGTCACGACTAGCCATGTGCGGGTGTAAGATTCTAACGGTACGGCTGGTCCGAAGGCGGTGGGTTAGTCTTCTCTCCCCTCTCCCACCGCTAAACTTGACCAGTCTTTAAAAAAAAAAAAAAGATTCTAATGGTATGATAACCTTGGAAAATAATATCACGGTATTGTGATTACTGCTCTAAAATATGTTATTTTTAAATGTCTGGTTAATAAACAACAACTTAAATACAATTAAATATTTTGTCTTTGACACAAACAACAACTTGCATACACCTTGAAACGGTAACAGAAAATTTGAGCGGGTTTTAAGACCACGGCCTTTTCAAGCCACTGTAAATCAGTTATCATCCCATGCCTGGTTAAGACGTGTAATTACATTTAGAGGTGCGCATCAGGATATGGTGAAGGTTATCCTTATGTGCAAAGTCTATGACAGACCTACTGCATTCACTCAATGATGCATACATTGTTCTTTACTCACCTCCCGGTGTCTGTAGACCCAGTAGGGCCATGAAGCGGTTCTTATTGACCCTTAAACCACACAAGATGTCCTCCATCATCCAGAGCTGCCTCTGGGCCTGAATCTGCTCCTGCAAGGTAATCCTGGAAGTTAGATGACCTAAATAGTCATTCAGTTTAACTATCACTTATATTGACCTTATTCTCCGCTGACGAGCGGGTGCTGCCATTTGAATCTTTTTGGCACGAGACTTCCGGTCTCATTCACTTCCATTCATTTTTAGACATTAAAAACTGCTCGTTTCGCTGTTTGATGTTGCAAACTGATATTTCCTTGTTATATTATTCTACTTGGTCTGTATAGTCATGCAAACTTTTGTTTTTAGAGCAAGTAGTTTGACCGTTTTTTGCCGTTTATTATTTCCTTGTCATTTCTCCCATAGGCGACTGAAACGGAAGTTCTAAGACAATCGCGAAAACAGGCGCACTCCCGCATTTTAGAATAAGGTCAATAAAGTCACTTCAGGTGTGTTCACGTTTATAGTTTGGTTCTACTGGTTTGTTTTGGTAATAAAAGTTGGTTCTATTGGTTTGTTTGGCTTAGTTATTAGGGGCTTAGTTATTCCCATCACTGGGAAACACCCATACACACTCATTCACACACATACACTACGACCAATTTAGTTTCTTCAATTCCCCAATAGTGTGCATGTGTTTGGACTGTGGGGAAAACCGAAGCACCTGGAGGAAACCCACACAAACACGGGGAGAGCATGCAAACTCTCAACCGTTACCCGAACCAGCAACCTTCTTGCTGTAAGGTGACCGTGCGAACCACTGAGCTACCGTGTCGCCCTGCAGTTTGTTTAAATAAAGTAGATTACCTGTGGGGAACCGAAGTGGAGGATGTGCTGGAGGTGAGAGTGGAAAACAGACAGCTCGCTCTCCATCCGCTCATAGTCAATCCACAACCTCTCCATCTCCTGAGAATAACATATTATTATTATTATTAATAAACAATATGCATTATAATTTCTTCACTATTTTAGCAATAAATCTGAATTATTACTTTATTTGGTTTGATTTTGGCAATATATTTAATTTAAGTCTGAAGAGTTGTGAAAGAAATTAATTGAAATGTGATTATAAAGTTTTATGTGAATTTTATGTATATCAATATGGCTATAAATTAATTATTATAAAAATACGTGATTAATATTAACTAATATACTGTGTGTATACAATATATATATATATGTATATATATATATATATATATATATATATATATATATATATATATATATATATATTAGGGATGTAACGGTATTGTAAATACCGTCATACCGCAATATTAATTTTTTTCGATATTACCGAAGTCGCATGACTCGGTAAAACTATAGGTCTTCTGAGAAAATTTGCTCAGGCGAATGAAGCGAACGGGAGGTAGCTTAAACTACATTTCCCATCAGCCCAGGCGTGGCCATAATCCTTTGCGGTCTGCTGTCGCTACAGATCCAGTAATGCGGAAATGGAGTGTGCTGCTAGTAGCGGAGATGAAAAAAAGATGGAAATGATCGAACCTAAAGCGGGTGTTGTCGCCGCGCGCTGAATAGCAGTGTTATCGCGCGCGTTCTGATCAGCTGTGTTGTCGCGAGCGTATTGTAAAGCACCGAGGGGGGGTTGAGCGCGCATTCTCAAGAGCGGTGTTGTCTACTGAAGGGCTGGACGGAGGTTGTGTCGCGTCGCGGGGGCACTTTTGATCGATTTGGAAGGGCATTTTCTATCCAAGACTAAAAAGGGCTTGTGCACTGCACAGGTTGAGCCCTGTGTGTGCACGTGCCTGCAAGTTGGGGAATACGACTAATAGCAGTCATGGGGACTGCAGAAACACAGCACACTGTTCAGATTGATGCAGACATTGACTTGTACCGCAAAGAGATCTCTATCTCACTCATGGCTTGTCTTCTCAAGTGGGGGAAAGACAATGCACAACGTTACCCACTGCTGTCAACCTGGGCCAAGTCATATCTCAGTCCCAAATGAGAGGGTTTTTTTCTGTTGCAGGGGACATTGTAAATACCCAGAGATACCAGCTTTTACCAGATTATAGTTATATGATAATTTTCCTTTAAACCCATCTCTATCTAAGTAAGTGAGTGAGTGATTAAATGTTGAATGTGATGAGTTTTCAACAATACTAAATTGAAACTTTATTTTTTTACATGGTTTAATAATTTTTTGTTATTAAAATTTAAGTTCCTGTTTCAAAGCTTACAGATAGATGACTAATTTGTATGTCATTGACACTTTTGGCACTTTTTTGGAGTATTTTCATAACTTTTGTTTTTTCCTGTAAATGATTCAATAAATACCGTACCGTGACATTCATACCGAGGTATTACCGTACCGTGAAATTCTGATACCGTTACATCCCTAATATATATATATATATATATATATATATATATATATATATATATATATATATATATATATTTCATTATAATACTTGACTGTAATTTAAACCAATATTTAAAATAATAATAACAAACAATTATGCACCTTTTGCTTGCAATGGTTGCAGCTATACCGTGGTTTGGGTTTTAGCACCCATAAATAAAGTACTTTACCAGTGATAAATCACATATTCTGGCTCTGAGTGTAACCAGGTCTTCCTGAAGCAGTGCCTTCTGGGAAACATCCTGGTGCTCTCCTGGATGACCATCTTCAATCCCCATCCATTTGATTTCTAGAGCATACTCCACGCTTCTCTGAAGAGGAGGAGAGATGTGTTAGTGATGTGTTTTGATGTGTGTGCGTGCGTGCGTGTGTGTGTGACTGACTTTATCTGCCTGTAACTGAGACAGCTGCATGGAGACGGACTGCAGCAGTTTATCACAGCCACACAGGCGAGTCAGAACCACCTGAAGGACAGATGAAAGTATATCAAATCTGCAACATAAAAATGTCTATCCACCTTTTTTACCCCACATGTAACCTGAATTATGTGTCGCACTTTTTTTGGGAAGTTACATTCAAAAAAACTATAACAATATACATTTACACTTAGTCATTTAGCAGACGCTTTAATCCAAAGCGACTTACAAATGAGGACAAGGAAGCAATTTACACAACTATAAGAGCAGCAATGAATAAGTGCTGTAGGCAAGTTTTAGGTGTGTAAAGTGTAAGAAGCAAAACATTAGAAAATTTATAATTTTTTTCTTTTGTAGTACAGTTAGCGGTAGAACCAGAGAGGCAATTGCAGATTAGGAAGGGAAGTGGAGACTAAATGGTTGAGGTTTTAGTCGTTTCTTGAAGACAGCGAGTGACTCTGCCGTTCTGATGCAGTTAGGAAGTTCATTCCACCAACTGGGCAGATTGAACGTGAGCGTTCGGAAAAGTGATTTCTTCCCTCTTTGGGATGGAACCACGAGGCGACGTTCATTCACTGAACGCAAGTTTCTGGAGGGCACATAGATCTGCAGAAGTGAGAGCAGATAAGAAGGAGCAAAGCCAGAAGTCGCTTTGTAAGCAAACGTCAGAGCTTTGAATTTGATGCTAGCAGCAACTGGCAGCCAGTGCAAACGGATGAGCAGCGGAGTGACATGTGATCTTTTAGGTTCATTAAAGATCACTCGTGCTGCTGCATTCTGAAGAGAGTAGTAGAGAGTTGCAATAGTCCAGTCTGGAGAGAACAAGAGCTTGAACTTGAGAGTTGAGCTGCATGTTCAGATAGGAAGGGTTGGACCTTTAATGATTTTAAATAATCAAATAATTTTCAGTCATTTCAAATCATTTTATATAATAAGGTTGTGCTACATATAATCGATATTAACTGAGTTAGACAAAGTTATTTAAATTTAAAAAAAATATTTTTTCCTACTTATTTTTGTTGTTTATCATAATAGTTTTAATTACTCATTTCTAATAACTGATTTCTTTTATCTTTGCCATGATGACAGCGCATTATATTTGACTAGATATTTTGCAAGACTATAATTAATAATAATAATAATTCCTTTATATAGCAGTTGTCTTTGCACTCAAATTGCTTTACACATAGGGGGAAAGCATCCACCTGGATGACCCGACGGCAGCCATTTGTGCGCCAGATCGCACACCACACACCAGCTGATTGGTGGAGTGGAGACAATTATGATAAGCGGAGGGTTAGGAGGCCATGATGGACAGAGGCCAGGGGCAGATTTGGCCAGGATGCCAGAGTTAAACCCCTACTCTTTTTCGAACGACATCTTGGGATTTTTAATGACCACCGAGAGTCAGAACCTCGGTTTAACGTCTCATCCAAAAGACGGTAGACTGATAGTATTGAGCTTAGAGTGATATTTAAAGATTTAACTAAGAGAACTAGGTAAAGTTAGGTTAATTGGGCAAAACATTGGTCAACAGTGGTTTGTTCAGTAGCCAGTCAAAAGTGAGGCTACTAATGTTAACTATATTTCTTTTATCTTTGCCATGATGACAGCGCATTATATTTGACTAGATATTTTGCAAGACTATAATTAATAATGATAATATTTATAATAATAATGATAATAATAATATTATAATTTTTTATAAATGTTTTTTTTTTATTCCAGCAAACCTAAAAGAAATAAGACTTTCTCCATAAGAATAAAAGAATAGTATATACTGTAAAAAAAATGGCTTTGCACGTTAAACAGCACTTAGGAAATATTTCAAAAAGAGTTCAAATTTTACAGGAGGGTGAATAATTTTGTCTTTGACTGTATTTTCAGCTTAGAAAGGTCAATTTTTTTAGTCTATTGAGTTGTATTTTAGTATACGATAGGTGAACTGTGAGGAGAGTAATGGCTTCTTATGCAAAGGTGTAAAAAACATTTCACTGATTTGATTGATTGCAATTTAATTAAAGTTACTCCCATAATTTATGCAAGGCATCATAGGGTGTAGGAAAAAGGTGGACAGAATTTACAAACAAACAAATTAAAGTTACAAAAAATGGGATTAAAACTTCAAAATACTAATAAAAATGACATTGTTCAATAATAAAATTACTCTGGGATTAAAGCAAATCCTCTTAGGAAGGATTTATTTAAAAAGGACTTCAGATGTTCAGATATTATCTTTAAGCACTTCTGATTGTTTAAACATCAGTGATGTTTGATATTGCGTAACTGATCTCTTGACAGTAGTGCTTGTGTCAACAGTACACTGGAAATATAGACAGTTCAAACAGACTTATCTGATTACACACACTCACACACACACACACACACACACTGCAGTGCACTCACGTCTGTGTCATTTTCCAGATCTCTGATTGGTTGTATCGGTTGTCTCTCCATGAGAAAGTCTTTTCCTGCCTGGAGGAGGATAAATAAGTTAAATAAAATAAATGAAATTTGATCTCATGCATCATTCTATAGACACCATAACACTTGCAAAATAAAAACCGTGTAAATGTTTAACATCTAACAACAAGAATCATGAATAAACTCAATTTTAGTTTATTAATAATTGTAATAAGTAATTCAGTTTAATAATCTTAAGAGTGTGTATTATCATTTACTTATTTTAGCATTTGTTTTAATGCATATGTTTTGTAGTTGTCTTTTTATTGGTATTATTTAGGTAGAGTCTTTAAATAAGCCTTCTTATCTATTCCTGCACATTATGACTTATTTTTTTCTGTTTTATTTTTCTGTTTGTGTATTCTTGTGCAAATAAATAAAGTAACAAAACGTATTATAATATCAGCATATCAAACAGAACAGAAATGTAATGATGATGAAATTATAAACAATTATAAATATACAAATATTTCAATTACACTGAATTAAACCTGAATATGTGAGGTTAAAAACTTTATATATATATATTAAGAATATTGAAGTGTGTTTTGCAATATATATATATATATATATATTGCAAAACACACTTCAATAATCTTAAGTTCATTTGAACATTGTGTGCAGAAAATAGCTTTTAAGATCGAGATCAAACACACAAGAACACTTTTAAATGATAAAAGTAAATTTAGTTTAATGATTTTGATTTAAATGACTTTTATGTCTTGAATCATGGATGCGTGGATGGAAATACCTTAAAATCTTGTCTTGTAAAAATAATTTGTGCAAGTAGATTTACTGTAACATTTTAGAGACTGTAGTATATCAGAGAACGTGTGAGAATGAGATTAAATTGTTTTAAAAATATGCATAAATGAATGTGTCCTGTTAAACATTGCTGTATCGGATGGAATACCAATATTGAATGATGCATAACCCAGAGTTATTACAGTTTAGGCCAGATCTGTCTTACCTTGCACATTGTCATGTGTTCAGTGGTGTGGTAGTTCGAGCAGAAGCACAGAGAGCTGGGATAGTCAGGCTGAAAAGGCTAAAATTCAGTAGCGCAGTTTAGACAAGTGTAGATTTTATACAGCTGAAGACATTATTCTGTAAAAAATTAATACATTTAAAATATTTCCCAGAACAAGGTAAGTTTTCCACAGTGTTTCTAATTATATTTTTCTGCTAGAGAAAATTAAAAATATTTTAATGGTCAATATTATTAGCCTCTTAAGATTTTTTTTATTTACCAATTGTCTACAGAACAACATTTACATTTTACATTTAGTCATTTAGCAGACGCTTTTATCCAAAGTGACTTACAAATGAGGACAAGGAAGCAATTTACACAACTATAACTTTTTTTTGTAGTACAGTTAGCGGTAGAACCAGAGAGGCAATTGCAGATTAGTAAGAGAAGTGGAGACTATATAGTTGAGTGTTTAGTCGTTTCTTGAAAACAGCGAGTGACTCTGCCGTTCTGATGCAGTTAGGGAGTTCATTCCACTAACTGGGCAGATTGAATGCGAGAGTTCGGGAAAGTGATTTCTTCCCTCTTTGGGATGGAACCACGAGGCGATGTTCATTCACAGAACGCAAGTTTCTGGATGGCACATAAATCTGCAGAAGTAAGAGCAGATAAGAAGGAGCAAAGCCAGAAGTCGCTTTGTAGGCAAACATCAGAGCTTTGAATATGATGCGAGCAGCAACTGGCAGCCAGTGCAAACGGATGAGCAGCGGAGTGACATGTGCTCTTTTAGGTTCATTAAAGACCACTCATGCTGCTGCGTCCTGGAGCATCTGAAGAGGCTTGATAGAGTTAGCTGGCTGTTGTCTAATGACTTGCCTAAATAAGCCAGTTAACCCTTTAAATTAGCCTTTAAGTTGAATACACTGAAAAAGTGATTCATTAGATTAACTAAATTTTTCAATGTAACTGGTTGCAAACCATTTATATGGGCTGACTTTAAACAAACACATAAAGTTGCTAACTTACTAAATTACTAAATTTAATTTGTGTTTAATTTCAGTCTATGTAAACTCTGCACAACCACTTACCACATTGCCACAGCCATATCACCCTGCAGCCCACGGCTGGAGACTTATTGAAGCTAAGCAGGTCGGTAACTGCATGGGAGACCACATGGGAAAACTAGGTTGCTGTTGGAAGTGATGTTCGTGAGGCCAACAGGGGGCGCTCAACCTGTCGTCTGTGTGAGTCCTAATGCCCCAGTAAAAGTGAATAGTGCCTTCTTTTGGATGAGATATCAGGACCAAGGTCCTGTCTCTCTGTGGTCATTAAAAATGTCTATTAGCATAGCCCTGATTACTAATAACAACTTGCAGTATGAGAATCTCTGATTCTAGTCAATACGACTTGTATATTATTAGGCCTAGGGCTAGGTGAAATGGCAAAAATGCAATCTCAATAATTATTTTCCATATTACACGATAACCATATATATTTTGATATAAGTTAATGCTTCCAGATTTAAAAGAGTACCCCAACGATGACTGAAGCCACAAAAATTAGAGGGTCTATTAAATGGAAAATTCGGTACATCTCTAATATCAACACACTTCTAGATTCCCATCGTTGCACATTTCTGCTGCGTGGTTGGCTCATAGATCAATGTAGAGTAAAAAATGGATTATCATTGTTATTTTGTTGAGATTTGATATATCATTGTTTATCGGCTCAGCCTTAATTAGGCCTGTAGCAATAATCATTAAATGGACTTTTCACACAACACAGACATGAGCTGAATTATTTTGGTTATACAATATATATCGCCCATACATAAAACCCAATTCTAGCAAACATTTCAGCTGATTGTGCAACATCTCTATCTCTATTGGAGCTGTCAGTGACAGTATGGTAAATAAAACACTGTAGTATTTACTATAAATTACTATAGTATATTTTCATGTGGGTGCAGATATAACCTCTGTTACTGTTTACCTTGCACTTTTTTAAATGAATATTTACTATTATGAATTTAGGATATGCGTTTTCACATTCTGACTCCAATGCCTGATTAATAAACAGTCAAAATGACTATAATTAAATGAAATATTCTTCAGAATGAAATATGATGTGTTCTTTGGAAGAGTACACTTGCTTTGTGCTGATATTATATTGTCATTCTGGCATTATATAATAAGTGGCATAAATGGTCTTAATGTGACAATAATATTGTTTATCAACAATATATTTTGGTGCAATACATCATACACAATCTCTCACAACTTACTATTAGACGGACTTCAAAACTGGGTTGGCCTAGCTGGGACAGCACTAAATTGGTTCATATCCTATTTAACCGAACGCTCGCAGTTCATTTATCTGGGAGGTCATAGATCGCGGACTGTCCCTCTGTGTCACGGTGTCCCCCAGGCTTCGGTACTCGGGCCACTTTTGTTTAGCATTTATATGCTACCTCTTGAAAAAATTGTACAAAAATTTGGCATTAATTATCAGTGCTATGCTGACGACACACAGATTTATATTAGCACATCTCCTAATCTATCTGCCTCACTGTCGACACTTAACGCCTGCTTGGTGGAGATTAAGTGAAGTTTTTAAACTAATTTCGAGAGGAGCATGTGATATAATTGACTGCAGCTGGCCACCTATCTACACTCATTAGTTAGCCAATCAGATCTATCCTAACTCACTATAAGTAGCCTAGCTAGATATTACTCTCTTATCTTCGTTTTCCGAAGAAACCCCCCCATCCACCCCTTTCTCCTCCTCTTCTCCTTTACAAAAAAGGGGAGCTCTCGAGAACCACCTGATCTCGTACTCCCCTCACATGCTCTATAGACCTGGCGGGAGCCCTGGGCTCAATTATCTCCGAGCTCAGGGTTCTCTCCCGGGACAGCAAGCCAAACCTGCTTAAAGTTGTCAAGCAATATCCAAGTGTGAACTCTTGAAAGCCTGGATGCAACAAAACTATCTAAAATTAAACAGCTCCAAGACAGATTTTACTTATTGGCACACCCACTAATGTTAAGAGATGTGGCAATCTCAAGTTAACAGTTGATTAATCTCTTTTAACTCCTTCTATGCAGGTGCAAAGTCTTGGTTTCCTCTTTGATGCTCAGCTTAGCCTCAAACCTCATTTTAAACAGTTAACAAAAACTGCTTTTTATCACTTACGCAACATTGCCCGTATCCGTCCTTTTCTCTCAACACCAGATGCTGAAAAGCTTGTCCATGCTTTTATTACGTCTCGTCTAGATTTTTGTAACTCTTTATTTGGGGGTCTGCCAGCCAATTCACTTAAGATCTTACAATGTGTTCAAAACTCAGCCGCACGTGTGTTAACTCACACATCATCTCGCACTCACATTACTCCTGTTCTTCAGCAGTTACACTGGTTGCCTGTAAAGTCACGCATCGATTTTAAAACCTTGATTTTAACTTACAAAGCTGTTCATGGTTCTGCACCTGATTATATATGTGACCTGATATCAACCTCCTCATCCACTCGCAATCTACGTTCTGCTTCGGGCTCACCTTGTTTCAGCCCCGTTGCAAACTTAGCAGCATGGGAGGCAGGGCTTTCTCTTATGGTGCACCTAAACTGTGGAATGCTCTCCCCACAAACATCAGAAACGCCAGTTCCCTGGACTGTTTTAAGAAACTTCTTAAAACTCATCTTTTTATTATTGCTTATAACTTATGAGGCCTTCTTTTAATATGTATATTTTTATCATTATTATCATTCTTACTTTTTTGTGTATTTCATGTTCTTCTGTGTGTTGATGCTCTTGTTAGCTCTTTGAGTTTGAGAAAAGCGCAATATAAAAAAAATGTATTATACAGCAAAAATAGATATCATGACAGGCCTATATATTACATCCATCAGTAAATATTAGCCATAGTTTTCTATAATTAGGCTGGCTTGAGAAACAAGCCAGACTACTGAAATCCTATTTAAACTTATTATTTTTTTTATATATTATTTTTCTTCTGAGACTTAAAAACAAAACGCATCTCCTCCTAGAGCTTTCGAGCTATGACCACCAAACTCACACCAGACCTCCAAACTATTCTGACTCGGTGTGCTATATCTTTTCTGACTGATACGACTTTCGGTTTTCCGAAAAACGTCCCGGGACTGCAGGAAAAATCCCATAGACTTAACATTGGATCAAACTTTGTGACCTCATAACTCTGCGTCAGACTGTCACACATACTTCTAACTGAGCTCATTTAACTCAGACTATCCCACTGCCAATGACTAATCACCTTTAAACTTTCTAGCCACGCCCTAGCAACCACTTTTGGACCCTAGAAACTGTTCCATAGACTTCCATTCAAAAGACTGTCATTGACTTTACATGGGACCAAACTTTGTGAGCTCATAACTCTGCATCAGACTGTCATACTGACTAGTGACTGAGCTCATTTAACTCAGACTACCAAACTGCCAATGACTGATGAGCTTTTAACTTTCTAGCCACACCCTAACTACCAGATACTGCACCCTAGCAACAACTGTCCCATAGACTTTCATTGCAAAAGACTTTCATTGGCTTAACATTAGATCAAACTTTGCGAACTCATAGCTTTCCATCAAACTGTCCTACTAATGGGTGAGCATTATCTATCTATCTATCTATCTATCTATCTATCTATCTATCTATCTATCTATCTATCTATCTATCTATCTATCTATCTATCTATCTATCTATCTATCTATCTATCTATCTATCTATCTATCATCTTTTCATACTTTTTAAACTGTTTAAACTAAACAAACTATTTCCAACAGACTTTCTCAAGCCAGCCTAAAGTTTGTCTCGACGAACTTTAATAATCTAGTTGCACTTATTATACCTATATCCTGCTCTTGCTGCTATTGCACTCTGGGTTAGACCTGAACTGCTTTCCGTTGCCTTGTACTTGTGTAATGACAATCGAGTTAAATCTAATCTTAAACTAATATTTAAATCTTCAATACGTTCATTATGAGCAGATTTGTGTGTTTGATGCTCACCTTGTCGGTCAGATGTCCTCTTTCCGTGTAGATACAAGGCGACACTGGAGCACTTGAACAGTTTTCCAAAGGCCAAATGATCCCGAGAGCTGGGGGATCGTACTGATCTCTGGGAAATGGAGGCTGCTTGAAGGTCACTTTTGGATGTAGGAAGGACAGGGATTCCTCATTTGTAGTTCCCAAACTTGCTGAATGTTCAGTAAATTCAGAAGCCCTGACAGAGAGAAAAAAGAGAGACGATTTTAACCAGTTGATATGCACACCGATATCGCAATGTAAGTGTTGAATCTGGATTACAATTTATCATTTGCATGGGATTTTGAGACCTGTGACTGTATGAGGATTTTTAAAAGCATTGGGGCATGATAAACTGTACCGTTTTTAACTTTAGTAAGCAAACTATGGTTGGAAGCATTAAAAGTGTGCAAGAAGACGTTCAAAATCTTTGCACGCATTGACCCAGAGACTGTTTAGATCAGGGATGCCCAAACACAGCCCTGGAGGGCCAATGTCCTGCAGATTTTAGGTCCAACTTGCCTCAACACACCTGCACGGATGTTTCTAGAAGGCCTAGTATGAGGTTGATTAGCTGGCCCAGGTGCGTCTAATTGGGATTGGAACTAAACTATGCTGGACACCGGCCCTTTAGGACCGAGGATGGGCACCCCTGGTTTAGATGCATATCACTGATGAGAAGATGACGGATGTTTACTGTATGATGACCGAAATGCCCTAAACACCGAGCAGACACAAGACAATAACATGGCGTTTGATTGAAATCGTACCCTAACGTCGTGGAGACGCTGCATTTTGTTTGAAAATGAAAATCGTGTTTACATCAGAACTAAATGTCAGCCTGATGTCACTGTCCAACGTCCAACCTAAAACCAACCAAATATCAACATCTAATGATGTTACAGCTTGAGATTGTGTGGACGTTACCACTATTACATTTATCTGATGTTGAATTTTGGTTGCCATAACTGATGAATAAATGTCAGTATTTGACGTCAACAGGATGTTGGTTTAAGATGTTGGCTCGACATTGGATTATGGTCACTTTCTAACAACCTAAAATCAACTAAATATCAACGTCATTATATGTCGTTATTGGACATCAAAATAATGTTGTCCTTAGACGCTGGCTAGACATTGATTTTGGTCACCTAACATCACAACCTAAATCTAATCTAATATTAACGCCATATGACATTGTGTGCCTGCTGGGCAATAACTAAATGCACTACAGAATGTTACGTTTACACACATTCACAAATTACATGTAAATGCATCAACTTTTAACAGCATAATACTCAGTACTCATGAGTACTTTTAAAATGGCTACTTTTTACTCCTACTTTGAGTAATATTTACAACAGGTACTTTTACTCTACTTGCATTACATTTTTAGACAAGTAATGGTACTTTTACTCAAGTATGCTTTTTTAGTACTCTTTCCACCACTGCCGTTGAGGTATTAATATGGACCTTTTAGGTACAAATTTGCACCTTTTGAAAAGGTTCCACCCCGGTGACAGCTTGCGTATCTTTATTTCTGAGAGTGTATTATATATATACCTATATATATATATATATATATATATATATATATATATATATATATATATATATATATATATATATATACCTATATATATATATATATATATATATATATATATATATATATATATAGCTATGTAAATACCTGAATACTGTTATGCTCCATCCCAATTCGCATACTTATACTACACTGTAAAAGTATGTGCAGGATGAAGGAAAATAGCACAGTAAAAGTGCCAACACAACACTAAAAATGTTCTCAAAGTAAAAGTACACATTATTAATGTATTTAGAGTATAATTCTTGACCAAAACTGCTCAATCACAGTTATTTGAGTATTTGTAATTGGTTACTTTACAGCACATATGTCAGTTTACTGAAGCAGGACACTTTAAAGGTGACCCATTATGCCCCTTTTTACAAGATGTAAGTCTCTGATGTCTCTAGTGTGTGTGTATATGTGTATGTGTGTGTGAGAGAGAGATATTTCAGCTCAAAATACCACACTGATAATGTTTAATACCTCTCTAAAACTGACCCTTTTAGGCTTTGATGCTAGTTGTGTTGTTTTGGTGACTGTCGCTTTAAATTCAAATGAGATTGTGCTCTTTTTCAGAAGAGGGCGGAGCTACAAATGCCTGTGTGTCAGCATAGTGGCAGATTCAAAAACAAGACGAACATCCTATGCTAATGAGGGAGAGATGGTCACTAGTGGGCGGGGCTTTCCCCCTCTGATGACACGTACAAAAGGAGAATGTCAATCAAAGTGTTTCTGCAGACTGTTTTATCAAGTCTGATTATAGTAAAATTTAGCTATTTTAACCTTTTGAAGCTGCTTACATTTACAGTCTGCTGCCACACAGCTGTGTTTAAACCCCTTTATAAAAATGATTTCTGCATAATAGGCGTCTTTTAAGATTTAAGATTACATTGGTCTGCTCCCATGTCTTCCTCTCAGTTCTGGAGTCTTCATCTTAATCCCCGTCATCTCCTGATCCACTAGATTGGGTTCTGTCAGCACTCTGGTCAGTTTACTCTGGGTGTTTCTCTCTGAAAAGGTGTGCTGGAGCTCCATCATTTCAGCATTGTCTCCCATCACAGTGAAGTCCTGAAAACTGGCGCAGCGCCTATAACAACCAGTACAATACATTCAAGTAAATGGCAGATTCAAGTGCACTGAAAACAGATCGAGGTTTGACGTCTACCTGTTGATGATGTCATCAGCCTCCATGCTTGCTGATTGGCTGAGAGCTCTGACCCAGCCCAGCATGTCCTCCTGGGTTTCGGCACTCATGATGTACGGCCGCATCCCCTGATGAACAACCTACATGCATATGTGTGTAATAACAATATATAAGTACACCCCTCACAAACATCTCATTTAGATGCATCATTTTTATAGAAAGCTTTACAATATTATATTTGTGCATTTACATTAGATTAGTGAGTACCGAAGCCAAATCTGGAGCTGATCTAACAAACAAAACGTATGATAATGGTCCTAAAATACTTGTTAATGAATATATCTGTTTAATAATTCTGTTTTGTACAAATGCACCAACATATATGACCTATATTCACTGAGAAATGGATCAAAATAATCATTTTCGAAGTTGATTGTACTTAAAGCACAGTACTGTGGAGAAGTTTAAGGCCACCAGTATTTTCACTACTACTACTACTACTAATAATAATAATAATAATAATAATAATAATAATAATAATAATAAGTCAGAAGTTTGTTTACACTAGGCCTGTCATGATATATCTATGTTGTATATTCATAAATCTATGTTGATAATCATAAATCTATTTTATGATTATAAAATAAGAATGGGCAATATGACAGAAATCTTGCATTACTACATGACATTTTATAATAATGTTGTTGCTATACTGGAATTTGTTACCAATCGATACTGAAATTTTAAAAACGTCCATTTCCCGCTGACATTTGAGCGCTGTTGAGCATGTTCTTAAACAGTGCTGATTTGCTATTGTGTTCACATGCTCAACAGAAATGACTGTGATTGGCTGTGAAGGTCATCAGTTTACCAATCTCACCAAAGTTCATGAGTGTAATTCCAGATACAGAGACACTGAAGCGCTTTAAAGCTGCGATTTATTAGCGGATTGCTCGTATGTCAGGTTATAGACAAACCAGCTGATCAGCGTGACTTTAAAACCTTCCAGTGCCCCTGTATCTGTAGTTACACTCAGTAAACAGCGATGAGTTTGGTAAACTGATGACTTTCATGGCCAATCACAGTCATTTCTGTTGAGCACGTGAACACAATGGCAAATCAGCGCTGTTTAAGAACGCACTCAACAGCACTCCAATGATAGCGTAAAATGGATGTTTTTAGAATTTAAAATGCCGATTGGTATCGAATTCCAGTATAAGAATGATATATATCAATATATGTCACGACATGCAATTTTTGTAAATGCAATTAATTATTAGTTATATTCATATTTATATTAATATTTTGTGATTCATAAGTGTTTTCTGTTCATGTACAGTTGTGATTGGCATTATGGGATGTTGATCTCTGCTCTGTCCACTTTTAATGTTGAAAATTCAACTCTACAGTTTAGCAAAGTGCCTTTTATTTTCATTTTAGTAGTTTGAAATAATATAATGTATAAGAAATAATAATATAGAGAGAAATAAGTCTAAAATAAGTCAGAACATGTGCTGCAGTTTATTAAAGGTTTTTGTAGCGTAATATACAAAACCAACCCTGACAGTATAGCACTTGAAACTATTACAAATGATCAAAAAGTCCATTTTTCTGAACTTTTCAAGGTGAAAAGTTGTTTGAAGAAAGAGAAAGCTCCCATAATGCAATTCAAAAGCGTAAATAGATGGGGAAAAATAAAAATATAAAAGACAAAATGTGAAAAACTGATATTTTACAGCTTATAGTCTTTTTTTTAAGTATTTCGATATATATTTAATGTTTATTTCATTTGATTAAAAATGGGGAAAACCTAAAATAAATAGAAATAAATAAAAAACACTGCAAAATACAAAGATTAGATACAACTTTTAAAAAAATGCTAGATAAAATGTTAAATGTAAATATTGTACTTTCAACATTGCAACTTCATTGTTGTTCATTGTAGCAGCTTTCCAATATCTAATTCTGTCGTTGGTAGAAAAGTTAGAGTCTGTAGGCAAAACAGATGCAAATAAAACATCTTTATTTGTTTGCATATGTATTGCATGCTACTCTTTAGTACGTACTGTGTGCTTCCTTTTTTTTAATCTTATTTATTTATTTTAAATTTTTTTACTACAGTATGTGCTTACTACCAATACAGTTCCTCAATGCAGTGATGTCACAGTTATATAGTATCGTACCACCACCTAGTGCCCAATTGCCATTATATAGTATCGTACCACCACCTAGTGCCCAATTGCCATTACACAATGTATGTCTGTTTGCATCCCCAAAATTCAAGTGGTGCTCACTGCAGAGCCATTTGGGCAGAGCTGAGCTCCAGCGAGGGGGAGCATGAGCTCTCGCTCCTCCTTTCTTGCATTTCTTCTTTGAGTGATGTCACTGGGGGTTGGGGTTAGGGGTGGGGTTGGTGTACGCATTAAAACAGCTTATAGGAGGAGGAGCGAGAGCTCATGCTCCCTCGCTGGAGCTCAGCTCTGCTCAAATGGCTCTGCATTGAGCAGTGTCTCCCAAAATTTGGTGTAATATTGCACTTATATACATTTTTAAAACTGTAAACGATGTAGTTTGTGAAAGAAATAAACGATAGAGCATAATATGAAAAGATATACTTTTTATTTTGTCCATACTCATATTGCACACCCCTACTTTAAGATGTGTAACTAATAAATAACAGATAATAATAATAATAATAATAATAATAATATAATAATAAATAATAATAATAAACAGATAATAATAATAAATAATAGATATTTACAGTTGAAGTCAGAATTATTCGCCCTCCTGTATATTTTTCGCCCAATGTTTCTCTTGAATGGAGAGAAGCTTATTTTCAACACATTTATAAAAATAATATTTTTAATGGTGACAGCACAAAATATTAGAGTAAATATTTTTCAAAATACTAGTATTCAGCTTTAAGCGACATTTAAAGGCTTAACTAGGTTAATTAGGCAATTTTATAACAATGGTTTGTTCTGTTGACAATCTAAAACAAATATTGCTTAAGAAGGCTAATAACATTGACCTTAAAATGACTTTAAAACAAATCAAAAACTGCATTTATTCTAGCTGAAATAAAACAAATAAGACTTTCTACAGAAGAAAAAATATTATAGGAAATACTGTGAAAAATTTCTTGCTCTGTTAAAAATGATTTGGAAAATATTTGAAAAAGGAATACACAGGAGGGCAAATGATTCGGTCTTCAACTGTATATCTATGGAAAACTCTTACCTTGAATGCATACTTGCGGTTCCTGACCTCTCGAGGTGAGCAGTACAGGATCCTGTAGCTGGGGAGAGGAATACTGCCCAAAACTGACTCCTCACGACTGTCTGAGAAACAGGTGAACATTTTAGATAAAAGTTAATCATTTAAAGTGTCTGTACAGTATTGTAGATGACAATTATAACACAGTGTCATATAAATGTCTTACCTTTATAATAATAGAGGCAGTAGTTAGACAGAACAAACCACCTTCTCTTCCATAACTTCAGTCCAGTGCTGTCCTAAGGGGAAACGGATATGATCATATAAATATTCGTTTTCATTCATTAATTTATTTTCTGCTGCTTTTCTGGGGCCGGGTCGCGTGGGCAGCAGTCTTAGGAGAGAACCCCAGACTTCCCTCTCCACAGACAACCTAGAGATGGCAAACTACCTTTTTTTTCAGGTGGAGCACAATGGCCTCGGACTAGGATGTGATAAATCTCATCCCAGCCGCGTCACACTCGGCAGCAAACTGCCCCAGTGCATGCTGACGGTCCATGTTAAGTTTTTTGTGATTATTTTTTTTACATATTTTAAAATGATTTTGGATTACTTTTAGCTTTTAGAGTTTATGTAATCTAATATCTATACTGTATTTAAAGTGAAATAAGTCTTAAGACAAAAGGAAAAAATGTTTAAAACCAATTTTTTGTCAAATACTTCTCAGATGTTATTATGAAAAACAAAGACACACAGAAAGCCAGTGTTGTTCTGTAAAAGTCACCCTCTTGTACAGCCATCCTCTGATCACCACTGGACAGTTGGGGTCTCTCTTCGCTGCTTGGCATCGCTTTCCAAACGTCTGCACTTTATCCTGACCCTGCACATATAGTACACTTTATCCTGACCCATACCATACAGTATGACCACGTAAAGTGTCATTGTGTGAGAAAACAATACGCCAGTGTGTCCATAAATGTGTGAATAATTCACCTTGTCTCTGACTGGCAGAAAGGAGACCGTGGCGCTGCTGGAGGCCTGACTGACCCGGTCCTGATCCTCCATCCTGCACACACATCAGACATCAGGTAAAAGGTAAAATCAGGTACACTTTAAAATTCATTCATTAATTTTCTTGTCGGCTTAGTCCCTTTATTAATCCGGGGTCGCCAGAGCGGAATGAACCGCCAACTTATCCAGCAAGTTTTTACGCAGCGGATGCCCTTTCAGCCGCAACCCATCTCTGGGAAACATCCACACATACACACACACACACACACTCATACACTACAGACAATTTAGCCAACCCAATTCTTCTGTACCACATGTCTTTGGACTGTGGGGGAAACCGGAGTACCTGGAGGAAACCCATGCTAACTCCACACAGAAACGCCAACTGAGCCGAGGATCGAACCAGCGCCCCAGCGAGCTTCTTGCTTTGAGGCGAACGTGCTAACCACTGCGTCGCCCACACTTTAAAATATTGGAGCAAAATATTTTTCTGAGTATTTCATATAATATTTTTTTCTTCTGGAGAAAGTCTTAGTTGTTTTATTTTTATTTTTTATTTAAATCAATAAAAGGTTTATCTAGGAGATGCAAAATGTATCTGCAATTCTAAAACACCCATACATATTAACAAAATCTAATATTTGAGCTGGTGACGTTTATAAAAATTTTTTATTTTTTATTTTTTTACACAAATTGCTCACATGAAACTTGCTTCTGTCAGTCAGTGACATTTGTTTAATAAAGTTCAGTAGAGATGCCAAGTCATGTTTGACTATGCTGAGAGATATTTTGTAAAACATGCATTATGTCACATTATATTGCATTATATAGCTCTTAAATACAAGGTAAATACTGCTATAGAAAACTAAATACTGTACTTCATTGTGATTGTTGGAAAAATCCTCTCCATTTTGTTCTCACGTCATTCCTTTATTCCCACTGACATTCCTTATTCATTTATCAACATAACTGAACTATTGTACTTATGCAAACTAGATTTTTACATATGAGTGGGAATTTACTGCGCAGAACTCAAAGCTGACTGGCTGAGTATGTTTCTGTGTCATTACTGGGGTGTTTTGATTGGTTGACTGTGTTGCTTTAGAGTTACTGTGGTGTTATGATTGGTTGTAACCTCTTAGTAGCAATAAGTACAATTAACAACTTAAAACACCCTAGTAATGACACAGAAACTAAGTCATTCTGTATCATTACTGGGGTGTTTTAATTGGTTGAGTGTGTAACTAAATAGTTACTGGGGTGTTATTAGCTGTCAGTATGTTGCTATATGGTTGCTGGGAGGTTTTGATTGGTTGAGTATGTCCCTAAAGCGTTACTAGGGTGTTATGAGCTGTCAATATGTTGCAGTATGTTTTGATTGGTTGTAACTTCTTAGCGTGACACACTCAACCACTTAAAATACCTCAATAATGACAGAAACCCAGTCATTCTGTGTCTTTACTGGGGTGATATGAGCTGTCAGTGTGTTGTTGTGTGGTGTCTGGGGTATTTTGACTGGTTGAGTCCGTTGCTGAAAAGTTACTAGGAGGTTATGAGCTGTCAGTGTGTTGCTGTGTGGTTGCTGGGGTGTTTTGATTGGTTGAGGGTCGTCATCTTGGAATTATAAGGTTCTATCTGTGTTCTGAATGATTCTGAGATATTGAGCTTCAAAGTTTTTGCATTTCATATAGCAAACCGTATGTGTGTAACATTTGTTTGTTTGTTTTTTTATAAAAAGTCTTAAAATGTAAAGAACTTATAAAAAATATCCCATACTGTAAGTTGTCATTTAATAAGTATACTGTATGTTAATAACTCAGTTTTGACAAAAATGTCAGATAGAACCTTATAATTCTATGGTGACGGTGTATGTCACAAAAAAGTACTGGGGTGTTATGAGCTGTCAATATGTTGCTGTGTGTTTGCTGGGATGTTTTGATTGGTTGTAAGTTGTAACTCTTTAATGACACACTCTGAACTACTTTAAACGCCCTAGACATAGAAACCCAGTCAATCTGTGTGACTACTGGGGTGTTTCAAGAGGTTTACTGGCATATTACTTATGAGACGTCAGTATGTTGCTGGGTGTTTTGATTGGTTAATTGTGTGTAACTAAAAAGTTCTGAGGCGAGGCAGTGGCGCAGTGGGTAGCACATTCGTCTCACAGCAAGAAGGTTGCTGGTTTCTGTGTGGAGTTTGCATGGTCTCCCTGCGTTCGCATAGGTTTTCTCCGAGTGCTCTGGTTTCCCCCATAGTCCAAAGACATGCAGTACAGGTGAACTGGGTAGGCTAAATTGTCCGTAGTGTGTGTGTGTGTGTGTGTGTGTGTGTGTGTGTGTGTGTGTGTGTGTTTCCCAGAGATGGGTTGCGGCTGGAAGGGCATCCGCTGTGTAAAAACCTGCTGGATAAGTTGGCGGTTCATTCCGCTGTGGCAACCCTGGATTAATAAAGGGACTAAGCCGACAAGAAAATGAATGAAGAATGAATAAAAAGTTTTTTTTTTGTTGTTTTTTTTTTGGATTGGTTATAACTTTTTAATGACACACACTGAATTACTTAAAATGCCCTAGTAATGACACAGAAACCCAGTCAATCTCTGTGACTGGGAGGTTTTAAGAGGTTTATTGGCATATTACTTATTAGACATCAGAATGTTGCCGGTGGTTGCTGGGGTGTTTTAAGTGGTCCAATATGTGTTGCTAAGGAGTTACTGGGGTGTTATAAGCTGTCAGTATTTTGCCGTGTGGTTGCTGGTGTGTTTCAAGAATTGAGTGTTTGTACTGGGGTGTTTTGAGCTGTCAGTGTGTTGCTTGGCTGTTTTGAGTTGTCAGTATGTTGCTGTGTGGTTGCTGGGGTGTTTTGATTGGTTCAGTGTGTCACTAAAGAGTTACTGTGCTGTTATAGGTTTTCAGTATGTTGCAGTGTCTGGTTGCTTGGGTATTTTGATTGGTTATAAGTTTGTTACTTTGCAATTGCTCTGTGTGTTTTGAGTGTTAGTGAGCTGCTATGTCGTTGCTATGGTATGTCAAAAGACCCAACACCTAAGCCTGTATTTTATATTGCATTGATGAAAATCACAAACGGCACACGGCTGTGCTTAACATGATATATGATATGAAGAAACATTTAAATCTGAAGCCCATATATTGCAAGACAACTCACACACTGAATTTGTTTAGATCACTTAATTGTAACCTTATAATCTTAAGTAGGAATAACACTAACAAGGATGCTTGATTTGCTGTATAAAAAGTACATTCTTACACAATCACAAGCAAGCCACAACATGTGGTGTTAGTTGAGAAGCTCACTACATGCACAAGATACAAACTCTGCAGATGAACCACTAACCAACGCAAAGATCTGATCGATATCCTTCATAAAACAAACCTTTAACTTTATAGGAGTGCTCAAAAAGTCTTGCAGGAGAGTCTTCTTTCTATTCTGGGTTCTGCTTTGCTGTAACTGAGTGACACAGGACAGCTGTTTTGCTCTGAATACTGTATGAGTTCACAGAGTACGCGAATGGGGAAGGTATAGACTCGTAGAGGAATGAATGAACACAGATTCAACTCTGACAGCTGTGGTTGCCACTTATAGGTGCTGTATGTTTTATGTAACTCTTCTAAATCATAAAAACATAGTAAGTTTCCAGATATTGTAGAAACATGCTAAGTGAACATACTTTTTAAGTTTAAGTCAGATATTTTGTTGTGAAAATACGTGTTCGGTGTTGAAATATGTCTTTGTTTTGATCTGTAACTCCGCCCACTGCCAGTTTACCCAATGATATTTCAGCATCCAGGGTTGCCTTGGTGGAAAACAGCGTATTATATTTCAGTTATGAAGGTGGTCTCAATGTATGTGGACGCAGCCAAAAATGCAATCTCTGAACAACAATAGCAGCCACCGAAATGAGATGTAAAGTTATAAAAAAATCCACATGAGGTGATTTTAATATTGCAAATATACAACATAGGCTTATCAAACATATATATATATACATTTCTAGAGATCGCAAATTATGTAGCCAGAGGTATGTATGGCTGCATTTCATCTTTTAAACCAAGGCTACGGGGCAGTAAGGTGCAGTACTCTGTATTGATGGCTTTTCCGCTGCAACCAGTTTGTCCAGTTAGCTCACCATGTACGTCAGCAGACTTGAGATGAAGAGAGGAGTTGACCACGACAACGGGGTTTGAGTCCCGTGAATAAAGGTGCTTTTGAAAACACTATTGGTTGGGTTTAGAGAAAGAGGAGGGTGGGTCAGTCGATCAGTCAGTCGGTCATTCAGTCAGTCAACAGCGGCCTCTGGTGGATTTACGCAAGAAGAGTTATGATATGAAAAAGCATACACAGCAGCCTCTGGTGGATTAGTGAAAACAAAAACTGCTAAAAAAAAAATTTAGCTCCAGAGAAGTATTAGGCGCTCTCCCGAAATGTATATAGGGGGTACGTTTTCAGAATGGGTTGCAAATATTTGAAACATTACAAAAGTAAACATTAACTGAGAAGCTAACAGTGTAGGGCTCGATTGTCAGTCAGTAGCTACATTTCCATCCACCCATTTTTATGTGTATTTTGGATATGCACATAAAAAATATAGATTGATGAAAACGCGCATGAAAAACTTTTTATTCAATAAGAAAAGATGCGAAGAAACTGTGATGGAAACAATTTTTACCGTACAAATTCCAGTATGCGCATTTAAAAAGGTTGTGTGATTTTTTTTTTTTTTTTTTAACATTTTTTATAAGAGATCATGTGATGATAACAATGTGTGTAAATGGACAAAACAGCAGGCTAAGCACATTTTAAAACGTCTGAAATGTTGTTTTGGTCATTTTAAAATGCCTTACTGTTTCAGTATTTGTGTTATTATATTATTAATGACCTCCAGAATCAAGAGTGTCTGTGCTCCGCGTCTGACACCTTCAAACGCCACCGCATGTTCACTGCATGTCAAGATTGCCTTCTGACGCGCAAGTCATTTATTAAATGCAGAAAAGACTCTAGCAGCTTCTTTTATCATAGCAAATTCTGTTTTAATTGCCAAATAATCTGGAAGTGACGATTT